AAGAGAATGAAAGAAATCTCATTCCATTTCCTCTCAGATATGTGTTGTAGAGGGGAATCAGTGCCATCATGGAGCATGACAGCACACTTGTCAACATTCATAAGAAGTGATACAAGCGAACAAGCTAATAATGCCCATGCTTCATATACTTGGATGCTAAAAACAAGACAAGTCATTGAACCAAATGTCTTACTCTGCAACCTCAGCAAATGCACTCTCAAATTTTAAAATTTTAAAAAAAATATACATCAGGCCAGGCAGTGGTGACACACACTTTTAATCTCAGGGCTTGGGAGGCAGAAGCAGGCAGATCTCTGTGAGTTCAAAACAAGCCTGGTTCAAGGACAGCTTCTAAAGTAACCCTGTCTCAAAAAACAACAAAACAAAGCAACAACAAAACCCCAATATATATCATTCTTTTTGTGTGACTTGAAAGTCTGCAGAATATCATTGGTAGAGAAGCAGGTAGACTAACTGCAGATCTTTACATATTGCTCCTGTTCTCCAAATCCAACCCCAGTCTCATCTCTATTTCTGCACTAGAGAGCCTGCTGCAGTCTCCCTTCACCTCCTGTCTCCATCTTCAGAGATGACACAGATATTCTTGCTCCTAACCTCCCTCCCCAGCTCCTTGCTCAATTCCAGTCCCCCAGGCAATCTCTGCGAATCTACGTGCTACTCCTGCAGATAGGCCCAATGCAGATCTTCTCTATCCATTCCAAGTTCAATCCCCAAGTCTCATCCTCAGCTCTGTAGTAGACCTCCTGCCTGGCCTCTCCTTACCCACTGCTCCAATACCCAGGGACTAAGCAGATGCTGGAGAAGCAGCCTGCTTTCCTCCCTCCTGTGGACCTTACTCAACACCCCTACCTCCTCACATCGCTATTCCTAAGTGTCAACACCCTACACCTAGAAACACATTTTTACCTGGGACTCTCAGTGGCCACAACTGTCAGGATCCAAGAAGAAATTTCTCTACCAGGGTACACTCTCCTAAGAACCAGAGAGGGCAAACAGAAAAAAAAAAAAAAACATCCACCCAACAAAGACAAGACCAGATATCAGCACCTAGAATTACAATCCTCAAAAACCCAGATGCCTAGATACCAAAATAAAAACAAAATCAACGACAGCCAGACTCCACTACAGCCCAGCAACCACTGCACAGTGGGCCCTGAGAATCACAAGATAGCTGAAGCACAAGAAAAAGACCTTAAAATAGACCTTACGAATACTATAGAAGTCCTTAAAGAGGAAATGAACGAATCCCTGAAAGAAATCTATGAAAATGCAAAGAAATCGTGGAAGGAAATGAATAAAACAATTGAAGACTTGAAAGTGAAAATAGAACCAATAAAGAAAATCCCTAACTTGAAATGAAAAACCTCAGAGGCAAGCCTCACCAACAGGATACAAGATATGGAAGAGAGAATCTTAGGCCCTGAAGACAACAATAGAAAGAAATGGATATCTCAGTCAAAGATGTTAAATCTAAAGAAATCTTGGCACAAAGCATACACAAAATCTGGGATACTGTGACAAGACCAAATCTAACAACAACAGGAATAGGGGAAGAAGAAACCTGGGTCAAAGGCATAGAAAATATTTGCAACAAAATCACAGAAGAAAATTTCCTGACTTAAAGAAGGAGATGTCTATCAAGGCAAAAGGAACACACAAAGCTATAGACTAGACCAGAGAAGAAATTCCCTTTGGCACATAATACTCAAAACAGTACATGTACAGAACAAAGAATGTTAAGAACTGCAAGGGAAAAGACCAAGTAATATTTAAAGACAAACATATTAGAATGACACCTGACTTCTTATGGAGGCTACAAAAGCTAGAAGGACCGGGACAGATGTTCTATAGACTCTAAGAGACCACAGATGATAGCCTAGATCAAAGACATCACAACATAAAACAAGATATACTAAACCTAGATCAAAAACCTCAACATAAAACCAGATATACTAAACCGGATAAGAGAAAAAGCAGGGAACAGACTTGAATTCATTGACACAGGAAAAGATTTCTTCTGAATAGACACCATTAGCACAGGCACTAAGATCAACAATAAAGAATGTGACCTCATGAAACTTAAAGTTTCTATATAGCAAGGATACTGTCCTTCAGACAAAGTGTCAGCCTACAGAATGGGAAAAGGCTTTTACTAAATACACATCTGGTAGAGGTTAATATCCAAAATATGTAAGGAACTTTAAAAAAAAAAACCCTATATGTCAAGAAAACAAATAACCCAAGGTAAAGTAGGGTACAGATCTAAATAGAGAATCCTCCAAAGATGAAACTCAAATGACTGAGAAACTTAAATATTCAAAATTCTTCATCATCAGGGAAGTGGAAATCAAGACTTCTTTAAGAGTTAAACTTCACCAGTCAGAATGCCCAAGATAATGAAACAAATGATGTGGATAAGGGGGATACTCATCCATTGCTGTTGGGTATGAAAACTCAACTGTGGAAATCAAAGCGTAATTCCTTGGGAACATGGGAATTGATCTACCTCAAGATCCAGCTATACCACCCTTGGCCATGTACCCAAAGGATGTTTCATCCTACCACAGAGACACTTGCTCAACCAAAATCATTGCTGCTCTACTCATAAGAGCCAAAAATTGGAACCATCCTAGACGTCCCCCAACAGAAAAAAAGGAATAAAGAAAATGTAATTGTCATTTTATTTCTTAAAAAAATGTTTTGAGACAGGTAAGGTGGCATGAGCCTTTAATCCCAGTATTGGGGAGGCAGAGGCAGGAGGATCTCTGTGAGTTCAAGGCCGGCCTGGTTTACAAAGTGGGTTTCAGGACAGCTATGGTTGTTGCACAGAGAAATACTATCTTGAAAAACCAAAAATAAAATAAAATACAGTAAATGTTTTGTTAATTCTCTGAGAATTCCGTACAATGTATTTTCACTATATTCCCTCCCAACTCCTCTAACTCCTCACAGATCTACCCCTCAACCTTGATTCCTCTTTGTAATAATTTTAATAACATCAATTCTGGTTTTTTATGCTATCCATGGAAGCATGGTCAATTTACTAAGAGTTAAATCTTTAAAGAAAATTGGCTCCCTCTCCCTCAGAAGCCATCATCCCTCTATACCCCACAGGTGTTGGGGCTCAGGAACAGCTTTGTGCTCCATGCTGGACTGTTGGCTGGCTTGATCTTGTACTCATCGTGTACAGACTACCACAGTTGTTGTGCGTTCATGAGCACAGTGGGCCTGTCCTATCCAGAAGACACTGTTTTAACCTGGTCCTCCTTGACCTCTGACTCCTACAAACTCTCTACCCTTTCTTCCTAGACAGTCACTGAACCTTGGGGAGGAGGTGTGATATAGTTGTGCCACTTGTGGCTGAGCACCCCACAGCCATTTGGTATCTGCACTTTGATGAATTGTGTCTGCAATAACCACCATCAGTTGCACAAAGAGATTTATCTGATGGGGTCTGACAGCTGCTTCTTAAAACGGTAGAGATGACAGCATCAGACGAGACTGCTGAGAGAGATAGAGAGAAAGCCATAGAGAGACATACAGACAGGCAGACAGAGACAGACAGACAGACACAACATAGAGAGACAACATGCAACGTATGTATTTGACCAAACCCTGAGGACATTATAGATGAAATCCACAAAAGTTTCTTTGCTAACCTGCCCTGGCCATGTATTATAATGTCAAAAAATAATTTCTTGTCTAAATTTCGAATATTGAGAAAAAGGGCTTTGAGTCAGGCATGTTTGCTTATGCCTGCAATATTAGTCCAAGGAAGGCCGAGGAAAGAAGATCATAAATTTGAAGCTAAACCTGGGCTTTTATAGAGAAAGACTTTCTTAATTTAAAAGTAAAAGACATTTTGCTCCCGAAGTATATTATAGTCACAGAGCAAAGGAGAGCTTTTGGTCTTTAGATAGTATTTACATAGCCTTGTGACTTCTGGAGACTGTCACACAGGCCCTTGACTTTTTGTTCTCATGAGTAGAAACAAAGTCTTGCTTGTACTTAGAGCCAAGTAAACTGAAATTTGGACCAAGTGATATAACCAAAGGAGATCTTCCTGAAAACACAAGCCTTGGTTGGAGCCCCGACCAGAATAAACACAAACTCCTGTGGGGCTTTCCAATGTACCAGCTACAGAAAGAAAGCCTGCCAGCATGGTCTTCTGACAATGTGAAGTACAAAGAACAATGGACAAAGGTTACTTTGGTAAACCTAGAACATGATCGATAGCACACACATTTGTGTTGTTCTCTCATTCACGGATCTTCTGGTTGAAAATGACAGAAATTCAAGTGCAGTTAAAGTAGGGGGAAAGGGTTTTATTTGTTCACTTAGAGCCCAAAGGGCCCGCATCTCAGCTGGATTATATATATATTATCAGAGATCCCCTCTCCCCTGTCTGCTCTGATGTCTTTGGGGACTGCATTCTCTTTCAGACTTTCTCCACCTTCTGGAACAATTGCCCTTGGCAGTTTCGGGCTCATCTGATCCCAACAACACACAATTCCTGCAGTGACAATGTACTCTCTCCCTGACTCCCAGTATTAAATGTTTTCAAAAAACCCTGACTGTCCTATCCAAGTGTATGTCAGGGATGGAGGTGGGATGGTCCCTCTAAGAAGATAACAAACAGGTATAGGGAAAGGAGATAGCAGGTGAGCTAGACTCTGGGGATGCCATCCAGGATCCTGAGCTTCTTGCTAAGATGTGATGTGGGCATGAAAAGAGGACAAATGTCTAAACCAATTACATAGAGAAGGTTTCAGATGCAGGATGGAAGATATGCTGCTACAAATACATATTTTCATATTGTCAGTTGAACAATACAATGATGGCAGAACATGCCCTGTGAGTGCCTGGAGGCTTGCTCATAGAGCTCCTTTCTAGCTGTAATTTCTGTAAACCCAAGATAACCAAGGAGGATTTCATCAGACAGACACACAGCAAATAACAAGTACTTCAATGTGCAAAGTAATATTTATTGAATTAATGTGACAATTTGTTCTTAACATAATCAAGAATGTGGAAATTGTAATGATTCTCAAAGCATTTCATACTCATGTAAACATAGCTGTGCTCAGGTATGAAGGCAAACTCAAAGCAAAACAAAAGCAAAGAAAAACACTACGTTATCTGGCAGCATTCATGTGCCAACAATTACTTTTTGTGACATGAGGCTTTAGATGACTGAGTTCACAACCTAAATTATGCCACCATGTACATGCTCCTGGCCACAATCATGGGCTCATCCTTCTCGTCACCCTCCCAAAGTACAAGAGCATAAAAAAAAAAAAAGCTACTAAACCACAAAAAGAAATAAAAATTGAATAATTGAAAAATAGGAGTAAAAAAAAATCAATGTTTTCTGAGCATACAGGGCAGTAGGGCCAACACTTCAGATATTGATTGGATTTTTGGATGTTATATTTCGGAGCATCTTTCATGATGATTGCAAATGTTCTCTCATACATGTCTTTTTGCTAGCAGATAAGTTCAGTGAGCTACAGAAAGATTTAACCCAGGCAAAGCTGGTTGGTCACTTTCCGAGGCCTGGGCCACCTGATCTTTGCTCAGGAGAGGCACTAGAGTTCGCAGGGGTTTTGGCTTTTTTTTATAATCTCAGACACAACTTAAGCATCCACCATGTGCCTTTAGCTTCAAGCCAAGTTTCCTATGTGGACTCCAACTGTCCTCGACCAAACGGTCATTCTAACAGAAAGGGACCCCTTTGCTTGAATGGCTGAGTTATCAGTGTGGTCTCTATGTTTCTCCTGTCCTTGATGCTGATAAATATATGCTTCATTTTGACAATGCAGGTATATTCTAAGGCAATATTAAAAACAAAACCAGAAAGCATAATCTTACTAAGATTATGTGTGAGGGGAAATTGTATTGTGGAGATTTCTGTCAATATCTAATGTTATTGTTGAAAATCTTAATTGGAGATTAATTCGGAGCCATGAAAGATTATTTATAAAATGTTGGTTCGCTATGTAGAAATATCTTGTAAGAAATAAAAATAGAAATGTACAGAAATATATTCATTCACATAAAATATTAAATCAGTGTATCTGTGGCAAAAGCAAAAAATATTGATGCAGGATTGTTTACAATGCTTTAAAATTATTGTAACGTTTTATTAAATGCCTGTTATTCCTTGATTTTTATTTTGCAATTTTAACAGAAAAAAAGATTATTGTTAGGTTGTTATATTCAGAAACAAGCTTCTCTGTTTTATAGAAGATATTTATCTTAACATCTTATTTTATTGAGGCAGGGTCTCCTTATGTAGCCCTGGTTAGACTGGAAGTCTCTGTGTAGACCAGGCTGGTCTCAAAGCCGGGGTCTGCCTGCCTCTGCCTCTCCAAGCTGGGATTAAAGACAGGTGCCATCACACTCTCTTTATTGTTTATATCTTCTTTAAATTCTAATTTTGAATCTGTTAAAATTTACTTTATAACTGAAACAGAAAAGGAAGTATTGACAAGAAACCCTTGGAAGGTGTTGGTAGACATTGCTCTAAGAAAACAGAAACAGAAGGTCAGCAAGCTGTTGCAGGCAGAAGCAATCCCATCCTCAGTGCGCCTTTGGTTTCCACACTGCAGGGTGCCTCAGACCAGCTCATGGAATCTGAACACATCTCTGCTCACTTCTCGGGCTTTTTCTGCCTAACATGGGCTGATATATTTCAGCCACTAGGCAGTAACCAGAACGAGGTGTCAGACTTTTTATTTGAACAGTTCTCTGAGTCCCTTCATAGGCCTTTTGCTCCTACACAAGGGGAGAAATCACATGATAAATGGTTTCTAGTGAGTCATTGATTTGCTTTTTCTTTGTTAAAATCAGTGAGTTGCATGTGATTACTGTAGATCTTCACATAAAGCCTTCTTCCCCAAAGCTCTGGGCCATAACCAGGTAAAGATACTCAAGGCTAAGGATGGAGGGAGTCATGGCTCCCTCATTTCCAAGCATGTGGGCTCTGAGTGAGGAAATGGCATGGACTCGCAGGGGTGATGAAGGAGGTAAAGCTGGCCCAAGGGAGGGAGGGAAGGGGGGGGGATGAGGAAAGAGAGTCAAGACAGAGAAGAAGAGGGCAGACCTCACTTCTTTTTCCTGTTTCTGCCTGTCATGGATGGCTTCTTGTCTCCTGCTGAGCTAACCCACTTTTGTATTTGAACCAGTTTGAGTATTGTTTTTCTTCCTTCCAACTAAATGAGCCCTGAGTTAGATGGATACAGAAAAGGGATATTCTGTTCACCATAGAACCTAAATAAAGGTACTGGTAATGGACTTTCTAATATAAACTACCACTGCAAGAGAGGGAGTGGGGACAGGAGCAAGGACTGGCGGGGGGGGGGGGACTGTTAACAGGGATGTCAAACAACACAAACAAACAAACAACAAACAAACAAACAAACCCCAGAAGACCGTGGTTCAAAAGCTCCTGAAATAAATAGGGAGGGTAAAACTAACAGAGATAAACAATAACAGACAAATGAAATGAAATGTTAACTTTCAGATATGTGAGAGCATCTAAGGAAGCTAGCTGAGTATCTGAAAGGTTACACGTATACTACATACACACCACACACAGGAATGCAAGCACACATGAATCCTGATGCTGATACAGGCACTGATTGCTTCTCAGCGAAGATGAAAGAATAAAAAGACAGGGAAATATCTGGAGACATACATCAAAGAGACAGGTCATGGGATATGATCAAAATGTTAGTTAAGGAAACAAAAGACACAGACATCTATTCATCTGAACTCACCTTTTCTAGTGAATCATCAATTAAGAAAACTCGGTATACTAAGTCATAGTAATTTTCCATAGATGTGTTTTTTCCATTTTGGTTTCTATATGGCAGTTCTGGGGCACGGAGAAGCACCAGCAATGATGCATTAACTTGGATTGTAGTCACAACTGGAGGGTCTAGCTTGGCTGGAGAAGGAATAAGCAATTTTGATAAGGCATTCAAAACAGTTAAATGTTATAAATTGACACTGTGCATCATGAAAAATCATGTGTTCAGAAATTGTCAAAAGTCATTACGAAGATAGTTTTCCTTCTATTTGCAAAAGACTGGTAAAATTCTGTTTCAATATTGAGAGAACATCTGCCAATCATTTTGCTTACATTATGATTTCATTAGAAAATTAAGTATAAACATTTCATAGAGTAAGATCTTGGAACAAGAAAGCTATTATCCAATTTCAAAGAAGCTTTAAAACCATTTGAAGACTTGAATCTAATAAATTAACTCAATAGGATTATGTTGTATATTATGGGAATGGCTAGGTAAGAAGAAAATTTTTGGTTCATGCATTTTGTTGCTAATACATAGGTTATTATTAATAAAGAAAGAGGATAACATTGTTATTTTAACTGATTTAGATTCACTAAATTTTTGAAGTGGGGACTTTCTTGCTTGGAATTCTTTGTAATTTCTACTTTGTAGACTCACATCTTTTATAATTCTTGAAAGTTATCATAGATAGACAGATAGATAGACACATGCCCTACCCACATAGATATAGAGCTCTGTATGTAATTTTTGTTCAGTAATTTTGATTCAGTACCTGCTAAATTTCCTTATTCTTATTGCCATATATATTAGCTTCTCTTATTTTTAAATTTTTCTTCAGGATGACATATTGGATTTTTTTTTTCAGACCTGTTTCCAGTCTGTGAGTTTATTCTTCTATTGTAAGTGACTGGAAATTGTATACACAATTTTTGTTTCAGAGATTCTTATATTTTGTAAGCTCTATTTAAACTTCTAAGTGTTTGGTAGAGCTAAGATTTTGCTTTGTTTGATTTTTTTTTTTTCCAAGACAGGGTTTCTCTGTGGCTTTGGAGGCTGTCCTGGAACTAGCTCTTGTAGACTAGGCTGGTCTTGAACTCACTGAGATCTGCCTGCTTTGCCTCCCGAATGCTGGGACTAAAGGTGTGGGCCATTACCACCTGGCAAGAGCTAAGTTTTTAATACATGCCCCCTCCACTCTGGCTGCATATTTTGTGACCACTTTCAAACATCTTGAATTTTTATCTGATTATTTGCAGAGGAAGGCTTTTCCCTGGGTTTAGGCTTTAAGAGATTAGGAATTTAATCTTGCTTGTATATTTCATGCTCCAAATTCTCCTGACTAGAGTGTTATGAGTAGGTTTTCCTGCCAGCCTGGTTCCAGAACCATGCCAGCCCCAAATAACACACAGAGATGCTGTATTAGATATAAAGCTGTTGACCGTTTACTAGCGTTTTTTAATTGACTAGGTCTGTTTTAAATGTTAACCCATTTTTACCAATATAAGTATATTTACATGGTCTAATCTTACTGAAGAGAGGGCCTAGAGTTTTACCCTGTTAGTCCTACATCTTGAAAACTCCACCCTACTTCCTCCTCTCTCCTCCCTGTCTCCTAGTCCTGCCTCTCTTACCTTCCTATTGGCCAACAGTGCTTTATTCATTAACCGATACAAGAAACATATTTACAGAATGGCATCTCCCATCATCTCCTCTTTTCTGACTAAAATAAAAAGGGTTTTAACCTTAACAGAGAGACCCCTTGCCATTTTGTGTATATGTGGAGAAAAGTCCTGTTTAGTTTTGTGGAACATTATCATATAATATATGTTTAATTTTTCCTAGACAAAAAATTAACATTATTATCACCTTTGGCATCTCCAAATACCCTTTCTTTAGTGTGACACTGTGCTTATAAAATACTATTGTGTATTTTTTCCACACTAGAATATTTATACAGTGTTTGTCTCTTGTGGCCCAAGCAATGATTACAGAAATAGCCTCACGATTGTGAGCGTCCAGGGCCTGTTTTTTGAATGTCTTAATTCATCATCTTGGATTCTTATTGTTTACCACTATTGCTAATTTTAAACACCAGTGTTCTTAACCTTCTGTGGGAGTGTGCACAGACTTAGAAACACCTGTTGACATTACTAAGACTCTCTACAACTCTCTTTTCTTCTCGCATTTACTGTGCAGGAATTGAAAGCAAGGATTCCATGGTCTACTTGAGCTAGATCCCCAGCCCTGACACTCCTGGCCTGGAAATATTGTCTCCCTGTGGTGTTTGTGAACACACCAGATTGTCAATCTCTCTCTTCCTGTCTCTTTGGCTATTTGATACAAGTCTGAAGTTCTTCCTGCTGGGTTATCTTTTGGTGAAACACCCTTAATGCCTAGTCTCACAAAACAGTACCTGTCACTTAGTACACTTTTCCTATTTAAATTTATCAATGTTCATTTTAGTATTTGCAAATGACTCACAGATTTTTGTCTTTAACAGAAGTTGTCCTGAGCTTTGAGTACTGGATCTGTACAGCTATTTCATGTGGGTGATGCATCTTCAATTCAACATAATTAAAATTGAACTCACATTCTTAATTACCCAGCTTGCCACAAAACTGCTCCTTTCCCATGAAATTATATCAAAAAAATAATCTCTGGTCCAGCTAAGTAGCTGTACCAGAGATAGACATGTTCTTCCCTCTCAGTATATCCAATCTATCACCATGTCCATCCAGTGTTATATTTTCTATAGTCCTTTGCATGATCCTTATTCAAGCCACAGTTCATATCCTGTAGCCTATCACTTCCTCTTCCTGCTGCATGTTGTATGTACTCTTCATAATCTGTTTCCACCAACATAGCCCAACTGATCTTTACAAACACAAGCCTGATAATGCAGTCTCCTGGGAAATCTAATGATCCAATCAAAATTACATCTTGTGAGGCTTGGGTACTGCTTGGTGCTCTAGTGCGTATCATGCTATACACTATATTGGGTTTAATTCCCAGTGTCACAAAACACAAGTTTTAAAATACATTTCTTTTTCTGGATGAAGTCATAATGCCTTAGGAGAAAATTCTCACAACTAGCTCCCTTTCCAGTCTGTGCCACTGCATGTCTGGGTACACTGTGCCAGCTGCTTTTCAGTCCCTAACAGATGTTCTGCTTCCTCTTGGACGAGGGCCTTTGCAATTGCCTTTCCCTTGGCCTGGGATGTTCTTGTCCTCCTTCATCCGGCTGTAAGCCATTTCCAAAGTCCACATGATCCTAGTATCGCATAGCTGAGGTCTTACCAAGCACTGGATGACAATGTTAACATAACCATCTTCCTTATTAAGTACTTTGTTTCTAGATAGGTCTCAGTGAACTGTGACGAGATGCTTCTCAGAGCTGGTCTTGGGAGTGCCAATGCATACAGGTGGCTCATTAGCTGGCACAACAGGCTCTAGGAACATACTGTCCTCAGATCCTAGAAACCTGTTTTTCAAAACAGGATGTTTGCACACCCTCTGAAGTTGGGGGAGAAGAGGGCCAAGATGGAAGCAATCAGGCAGAGGAGGGGGTGGGACTTCTCCCAAGGGCTCCAGGTGGTCCATCTTAACTCTTTTAGATACTGGGTTTCTCTTCTGCCTGGAGAGCTTTGAACAGGCCTCTCAAGGCTTTTCTTTTGTGAGAAGGGGTCCTATAGAGAAAACCTAAGCCTTGTTAACTTGATGCCATCCTTACATAAGTAGGACAGCCAAAGCCTCTACTGTTCTGACCCAGTATCTTTGGCTGTTCTTATCTGATGGGTCAGTCTTTGATAAATATTTGAACTTGATCCCATTTCTAGGCTTAAATATAATAAATGACCCAATGTTACAAACCAGCTCAGTCATTCAGACTCCTCCTTTACCTCAGTTAGTGAACTGTCTATGGAGTGTCTTGTTCTCGAGTTTCAAGTTATGCCCAGAAAAGATGTTGGGGGGAAAGTTGGTTTGTTAATTTCTTCTGCTCATCTCCTAAATAAAAAAACTCGAGATAATAAATAGCCTTTCTCCTGAATTCTATTGTATCTAGCCTTTTGAACCCAAGTCACTAAATTTAAATCTAACTGGACATTGCATCACTTAGAAGAAGTAGACAAATGAGCCCCTAAACTCCTCAGACCAGGAAACATCAGACAGATGTTAGTCAGAAGAAAGTTCATGTCTTGAGACATGATCTCACAAATACTGGTAGCAAGGTTAGCTATCAGTCTGCTGGACTTACAGTATTAGTACTTAGAACTAAGAATCTTTTTATGGGGCTAGAGAGAAAGTTCAATAGTCAAGAGCACTGACTTCTCTTCTAGAGGTCCTGAGTTCTATTCCCACCAATCACACGGTGGCTCACAACCATCTGTAGTAGGATCAGACACTCTCTTCTGGCATAAAAAGTTTTACATGCAGCTAAATCACTCATACATAAAATAAATAAATAAATTTTTTAAAAATTACAAATGTTGGTGAAGGCAATCAGTGTTTACATAGACTGTAAATAAGAAGGACAGGGTATGTGAAGTGACAAAGCTTTGGGATAAAGAGAGAAATAATTGTTGTTTCTGAGTGTGTTGGGGTTAATAGATGAAAGGTTTCTGCATAAGCAGGGTACTAGAGCTTTGGCTAACATGTGCCCCAGATTTCCAGGGCTATCAAAAGAGCAGACTGAAAGCGAGTGGCCTGTGTAGTTCTGAGGATTCCATCAAGATGACAGTGTGGGACTCAGCACAGCACAGGATCTGGCCAAGCACCCAGAAGCTGTTCAGAGGCAGAAAAGGAAAGGTAAGTGACTGGCTTAAACTCACTTTCCCACCACGGGGTGAAGCGGGGTGTCATGCTCCAGGCAGAGTAGCTCCCGGCCCAGGCGGTCATCACCCTCCCATAGTATGGCTCGTACAGGTCTAAGGTTTCATTGGTCAGGTCACAAAAGAGCGCTGTGGTCCCCCAGCAGTCCGTCTTATTTTTCCATTCTCTCTGTCCATACCTAAAGAAAGGAAAACACAAACATGGGAGTTTCTTCTCTCCCTTCTGAGGACTCCAGTTTTCCCAGTGTATTCATCTTTCTACAGGTTGATACCTTATGCTATCAAGAATGTATAGAAGTTCTTTCATGTTAACCAAGGCGTCAGCTTGCTGAACGATAAATTGAACTTTGAAGCCTCTGTCTCGCTAACATAAGGGTTTATTTCATTTTCTATGTATCACTGTGTCTTCTTCTGTTGTGTGGACCAGCTTCCATTTTAAGTATTCCATCCATGTCCTTACATCTCCTGAGGCCTCAGCTTTATGATTCTTCCCCCTTCCGCTTCTCATCAGCTTGCTGTTGGGTTATAAGGCCGATTCTGAGAAGTTGCTACTACACGCCCTGTTAAATGATGCTTACTGAATGAACACACATGGCTCTGCTCTTTATTGACAATTGAGTGGAAGTTGCACTGAGGGTTCCTTAGGGAGCTCTGGTACTTAAGACTGGCAGAAATGGGGTGAAGCAAAACAAAAACCTGAGCCCATGGGGCAGTGTGACAACCAAAGGGAAGACTAACATCTTCCTTTTCTATCACTCACAAATCAGACCATAGAATGTGGCAAGCAGGAGGTGAAGGAGGAGAAAGGAAGGTCCCTGGTTGAAGGACTTACTTTGTATCCATATAATGAGCAATGTTGCTGGTCCCTACACTCCATAGTCTACATAGTCTTCACGGTGTCAGGATTAAAACAGAAGCCACAACACAAAGCAGCACAATTTGATGAGTTTGGACCATCATTTATCGATGACACATTGTCTTTGTTGGAAAATACATTTGTGATTGAGTTTGCCTATTTCCTTTGCTATAAGATTTTGTGTTTGTTCTGTTCAAACAAGTGGAGATGTCATTAATTATGAACCACACAAACAAATAATAGTTCTCAAAATTATACACATGCCTTGTGCTGTTGAAATTACTACAGGGAGGGGAATTGTCCCAAATACTCTGAGATCTGAATTTCATGTAAACTTAAAGAATTAGGGATTAAAGTTCTGTGGAGCCTCAAGTTGAATCTTCACTTCATGGTAGGACAGTTTCAAATTCTCTTATTGCTTTGGCCATAGACAGGCTCATCTTGGAGCCATTTATATTATCTGTGAGGTCCTTATTTCCTACGTACCACAAGCTTCTCCAGCTGGGTCCAAACTGAGAAACTTTTACTGAAAAGATAATACATTTTATAGAGGGAAATTAAAGAAAAACCTCTGGGATATTCTCTTTAGAAACTAATTCATAGGAAAATCTGAGCAAGGAACCCCTCCAACTGAAGGGACACAGATGGATTTATGGGTCAAGAGGCATTATTCTAATAAACAAATACATTAAAAGAGGTGTCATTCTGGCTCATATCTCACCTGTTTCCCTGAATTTCTACTCTAGACCCATGACAGCTAAGCTACAGTTGCTCTTGCCTTTTTCTTAGCCAAGTTCCCTAACTAGGAGAAAGAGAGTCTCAAAATCCCTATGGAATGTATAAGTTGGATACCGGCCACGCTCCAATCAGGACTATCCCTCTGCGTTGACAAAGGAACAGAGTTGATTACATCCGAGTTTTGGCATTGATCCCGCAAAACAAGCATGAATATCTGATGAGAAGAGCATGCTGCTGCATGTCCTAGTGTGTACATGATCACAGACGTCATTAATACTTACAAAGAATTTGCTAGGGAGTAAATCTACCCCCACACAGACTTATACTTCCATGTTTGCCTCAAGTTCAACCACCAGCAGCTTTGTCTTAATTGAGTGTTTGCGCTGGGCTGAGCAAGTGGCTGCCAACACTCATTGACACATTGCTGGGAATGTGTGAAGCTGAAGGACTCCCTAGAGCTGAAGCATCTGTTTGAAAGACTGCACACATTATTTTACCTTTGAGTCACCAGACAACCTATCCTCACTCCTGCTTCTTCTCAACCTTCCTAGAACTCCTCAAAAAATCAAAAACAGCAAAACCCAAAGGTCTTCAGCTCCTCACACTCTGTTGCATTCCAGAATGTATTTCTATATTCTTCTCTGCCAACTGAATATACTTACTTTTTGTACTGCACGAAGTAGACACTGTCGTTGCCAGTGAGGGAACTTCCTGGCTGCCAGCGCAAAATGTTGTGGAAGTTTCTGGATTGAAACTGGACCTTCTGAGGCTTCAGAGATCCATGGGCTGGCTGAGTTTCTAAAGGGGCAAGAAGGACAGCATGATATTACTGTGATCTCTACTGTTGTGAGCAGCAGAATGTTTTCATATTCTCTGCATCAGGAGCCCCTGGGGAGTCACTCTGAGGAAGTGGTGACAGAGTTACAAATCAACATTTTTGATTCTTCAGTGTGATGATTAAGTTCTCTGACACTGAACTACACCCTGAGTCTAAGGTAAAATTGCAAAAGGATGTGTTTTATACTAGAAAATAAAAGGTAATGATCCATCCCTCCCCCAGCACTCCCCAGTGGGTAAAGGAACTAAAACTCATGGGAAGAATGTAGTCTCTAGTTTATTCCCAAATAGTGATGGGATGTAATGACTGTGATAAAAGACCCATTGCCTGTCTACTTGCTGCAAATACTCAAGTAGAGTTGTTCAGATTCACTGACCCACACTAGTGGGGGGAATTACCCAAGACCTGTTGTGGGCTTTGGCGAGGGTGTAAAGTCACAGGCAGAAGAGGGCAAGACTTTGCATGGCAGGATTATTTGTGTTTCTTCTTCAAATCACATGACAAGGATGACCTACATTTACCTTCATTTAATCTTGCAGAGGCAAGAGAGCTAAAACAAGATTTACTTCAGGGCCCAAAGTTTCTGGCAAAGGAGAAAAGGATGGTTTCCTTGGGTATTTTTTCTTACCCACTGGCTACTCCTGACATTGTTTTGTGTTTTTTGTTTGTTTGTTTTGTTTTTGTATATGCTCTGAAGGCCTCCTGCCGTGCATGGACTTGGAAAAGGTTCATTCTTGTAGTTTATTTTGTGCACCCAAATCACTACCTGCTTAATCCTATTTAGCACATAAAAATTATCAGGATATGGCAGGCACAGTTTCTTAAAGACCCACCCAGACTTGGCTTGCTAACCTGAAGATGGTTGGCTCCTTGCCCCCTATCTCTTTTGTCTTTGGACTTGTTTTGGATTTTTCTAACAGCTTGACTGTCACCCCTCCTCCTCAGTAACAACTCACAGTGCAAAAAGCACTGGGGGGGGCTCTTCCTGTCATCTGCTCATTAAGCATGCCCAGATCCTCCATGCTAAAGACACCACTGAAGTCTTCCTCTTATGGTCTAGAGCCTTGTAGAAGTGAAGGAATCTGCCCAGGAGCAGGTGTTAAAGCTCATTTTGTTCCCAGGCTGACTCAACAGCCTGCTTCTTACTACTGAAAACTAAAAGCAAAGCCCTGAGTGAGTGGAGCTGATGGTGGAGGCAGAATGATACAATAATAATAATAAGCCTTTGCCTCCTTCAATTTCTTCCTTCTTGACTCTTATTAGTGGACAGATAGAAATATTAATAAGAAGCTATGCTCATTCTTTTCAAGTTATCCCAAGACAACTATGTAAGAAAGAAACTATTATTACAGCATTTGCATGTATGGATACAGGCACAACAAAGTTACACATCATGCCCAAGGTTACATGTGTGCTAAAGTAGGGAAGCAAGGTCATTTTGCTAGCCCTTGAATTCTGGCCAAATGAGTCCTTGCCATCAAGGACAAGAGGAATAGCTTACTCTGGTTCCCATATTTCTGTCAAATAGGGGCTGGGCTCCCTTTAATGTACTCACAGAACAACTACAAAGTTGTGGGCACTTACTTAAGCCACTTAAGTGAGAGTCCCCATCTGTTGTGGCTTTGGGACTCCAGGGGCCTTTCTGAGCAATTTGCCTTGATAAACTGCTCTTGAAGAATCCTCTGCAAACACCATTTGCTTCTGGTCTCTGTTCAGTGGGGGAGGCATCTCTAAGCACTCAGCTTGTACACTAACTCTAAGTCTCCACAGCAACCCCCAATCTTCATTCCACAGATGAGAAAAGTCTTGTATTGGATATTAGGTAAAATGCCTGTTTCTTTAGGTAACAAATGGCAGGTGAAATCTTGATTCTGACTATGTGGCTTAGGGTATTCTGTCTTGTGCTCATAATAACTTAATGAGAGAGAGAGAGAGAGAGAGAGAGAGAGAGAGAGAGAGAGAAGAATAGAGAGGGAGAGGTTGAAACTATGAAACTGCTTTCTACCATGAAGGGGCTTCTCTGTCCTGAACTCAGGTACCTGTGGCGCTACTCAGTCAGGATGCAGAGAGCAACTATCCCCCATGTCTGCTGGGACCATTTGGTGACCTTACAGAGTCCAGAAAATCATTCAAGCCATTCCTAATCTTGTCTTGATCAGACTCACAGCTGGCCAATTAAAAAGAAGTAATAAAGCACTTACCTGTTGCACTGATCAGGAAGGACATGATGAGGAAGCCTAGAAAGTAATATTTCGGCATCATGGTTGCAACCAATGTTCCTTTCAGTGTGGAGCTTGCTAAGAAGAGGGAACTGTAAAAATCCACACATGGACCGTCACTTCCGTGGGCTCAACCAATGGCAAATGTTTCCTTAAAAGAAATTTAGGTTGTTACATTATTTTACCACTAAAGATTAGAAATCTCTTATAAACACACACACACACACACACACACACACACACACACACACACACCAGTTTGATAGCAGGGTGGGACAGGAATTATGCAAGGTGAGTTGAATGAATCTTGAGGGGATTTGGCTCTAGGAGTCAGGATGGTTTCTGGGGATCAGGAGGATGTCAGAGTAATTTGCTTGGCAGTTGTATCTGCCCCAGCCCCTGGCAGCTGTTCAAAGAGTTGTAGGCAATTTTTTTTGGATAGCTTCTCAGTTCGGCTCCCTGTTATTTATGCCCCAGGCCGCTTGACGCTGACTCCCCACACAGCCCCAAGCTATATATACTGTTAGCTTTTTCTTCTCCAAGGTGGCCTTGAGTCCCTTTCAATGAATGTCTCTCCTTTCCCATTTCCATCCCCACAGTTTCCAGCAATTAGTCTCAAGGACGATCATCAAAGTCAAACCAAATGATGCCTGAAGACAGTGACCATGGAAGACCACCAGTATGAGCTGTATCAAATCTGCTTTGTAGTTCCTGTGAAACCAGATCAAGCCAGCTCATCTGCTCATTGTCAAAGCTTCCTTATATTGCTCTACCAAAACATTTCCCATGTTTTTAAAGGCATTAAAAATTATGCATATAAGCACAACAAAGTCATAGTTTTATTTATTTATTTATTTGTTTATTTATTTCTACTTCGAAGAGACTTGAGGGGAAAAGAGGAAATGCCCTGACTTCTTTTTCATTGTATATGAATGGAAAAAAGAGAAACAAGAAGAAAGGATATGACTGCTGCTAGGTATGATAGAGGAGGTTTATTACAGATACATGAGAGAGCATAACCAGAGGCAGGGACTTCTGGAAGAGTCCAAAGTGGACACGATCCTGAGCCATGGGGGGAGAGGGGCGAGGAAAAGAAGAGGGGACAGTAGGGAACCGGGTGCAGCAGCCAGCAGGCCCAAAGTGGCCTAGAGAGTGGGTAACAAAATGGTTGGATTATGTAGGGAAGGACAGCCCAAGCCTCTGGGATGGAGAGTTCAGGGGAGGGGCCAGGGTATGCCAGCCAGGAAGGCCCTGGAACAGGTAAGACCTGGAGGCCTACAGGGAGAACCTGGCAGGCAGATCCACTTTGATATGTTAAATAGGCATGCCAGCCATTTGTCCTGGGTTTGAAACCTAACCTAGGCTTTTGTTGATAATGAGTAAAAAAAGGGCGATGCAATCTTCTTTATGAGTATCTCCTGTTGACATTGGGACTTTAGTTTTGAAGCAGGGTGGGAGAGGAAAGCCAGAATGTTGGCCAAGACTGGAAAGAGCAGGCTGCTTCACTGCTGTCCTGTGCACCAAGGGGAGTGATCCTTTTAAACATGAGATTAGAACAGTTCCCTCAGAAGATGCCAACAGTCCCATCTCAATCAGAATAAAAATCAAAAATCTTACACTCACTGAGTTGACTCTTACCTCTAAATTCATCTCCTGCACATTCTCCACTTTACCTATAGCTCTCCAGACTTCACAGCCTTTTTGACATTTAACATGAATGTATTCTTGAATGAATTCCTGAAAATTTGTGCCTGCTTAAGTATTGCCTCAACAGTGGCTTCCCATCTGCTCGCCCCAAATAGCAGCCCTTCTCCCTCTCAGCTAGCTGTCCTCATTATCCACTTTGCTTACCATCATTGCCCAGGGTAAGCTTTACGTTATTCCAACTACGTTATTCCTTATCAGATCATGAGTTTGAACACTTGGTGCCTGTCAAGCCCAAAGGGAATTTCAGTCCCCCATTCTGGTGGTTAGACAAAAGCAAGCATTCCTTAGGAACTTGGAAAGCTGGTTTCCCTTCAGCAAAAGAACCAGTTCCCTGTGGTCACTGTGGTCACTATTAGCATACCAAGGCACATGCTGGCCTCCAGTCCCTGCAGTGTCACAGTATTTGTTGCAGAGTCCATGCTACCTTCTGCCTACCCTCCTTCCTTAAGCTTCCCCAGCTCAGCCTACCCTCCTTCCATAAGCGTCCCCAGCTGGGGACCTTCCCTCCTTCCATAAGCGTCCCCAGCTCGGGACCTTCCCTCCTTCCATAAGCGTCCCCAGCTCGGGACCTTCCCTCCTTCCATAAGCGTCCCCAGCTCGGGACCTTCCCTCCCCACAGCTGTGTCTTTCTTCTAACCCTGCTGTCTTGGGCTATGCTCTCCCAGGTTTCTCTTGGCCCCTTCTTGGTCCTCTCTTCACCTGGACTCTTCCAGACATATGCACAATAAAACCTTCTCTTTAACTGTATCTTGGAGTGTCATGTCTTCAGTTTATATAGTTCTCAGCTGGTGTCACCTTTTTTTTTTTTTGGAAGGGGGAGGTTGTATGATCTTAGGAGGTGGGAGGTTCCGGGAGGTGGACCTTGAGGTTTTTAAATTGCCCCCTCTACTTCTCCTAACTCTGCTTCCCAACTGCTATGACTAGTGGTTTTCTCTTCTTCCCACTGAGCTTTCCATGGGATGTAGCCCCTCAATCTGTAAGCCAGAACAATTTCTCCCTATATTGCTTCTTGTCAGGTATTTGGTCACACAAACACAAAAAGTAACTAATACAGGAAGTTGGTAGTAAGAGTGCTAAGGACACTGGCAGAATTCAGGACTGGACTTGTGGTTATCTTCCTCTTCTGCAGCTTACCTTTTCAGAAGCAGCCTTTCCCGGACCTGGTGCTCACTGTTTTCAGCTAGGCTGGCTGCTTGGTGAGAGCTAGGAACCCTCGTGCCTCCTACTTTGGGGTTGCAGGCACGTGCAGTCATGCCTAGCTTTTTATATGGGTGTTGAGGATCTGAACGCAGGGAGTCACCCATGTCCTGCACCACACCCATGCAGCAATCTTTCTAGCCAGGAGTTGCATCTCTACCATCTTAGTGATTTCAGTAATTCCTGTAAAACAGAAACTGTGGGCACCCACTTTTCAAGCATTCTCTTTCTGTACAACACTTCTCAAGGCTCCCTCCCTCCCTCCTTGCACAGGGAAAGTTGCCTTGACCCGCCATGGTCTAGTGAGACCTGCTTTTCTTTCTGAACTACTGGAACAGGCTTTTACTCGTGCTACTTACTACACACATGCCCCATTCTATAATGGCTTTTAGATTTTACATGTATGAATGTTTTGCCTGTACGTGTGTCTGTCTGTCTGTATACCATGTCTGTGTCTGGTGCCAATGGGGGTCAGAAGCAGGTGCTGGATTCCCTGGAACTGGAATTGTGGATGTTTGAGAATTGAATCCTGGTCCTCTGTAACAAGATCAGCAAGCTCTCTCAACCACTGAGCACCCTTCCACCCTCTGACCCACTTTAAAAGCAGGGATTATTTTTAGAATTACTTTAGAATTCTATAGAAAATAATTCTATAACATTCATGCAAGTAATATATAAAATATGTCAAATAACTATGAAAGATTGCCCAAGTGCTTCAATAAATGAATACACATGTAAGTTTTTGTTTCAAAACATTTTACTTAAAAATAACAAGTAATGCTCCATAAAAAAAAATGTACAAACTTCCACTGATAAGGTCTATCAAATCTTATCAGCTTAAACTTTACACCCAACTCTGAGTAGCTTTCAGCTTTTCTTTCAAAGTGAAACTTGTAAACATACTATATACAGGAATTTACAATTATGAAGACATATGAAAACAAAAATTGTCCAACATGTCCCTTAAGGTGATATAAGGTCGGAGCAGCAACAGCTGCTGGAAGCAAGGTTAATAGAGGGAAATTCACCGCTGCTACCACACCCAGGGACCCAGGAAGGAGCTCATAAGCAACAAATGTTCCTTTGAAAAGTCTTGGAGCTTGCAGTGCCCAGTTTCCTCACACATGGATCTAAATTAAGACATTCCACGTGATTAACAACAGCAAAGGTACAATTTCTTCTCATAAAATCAAAGCAGAAAAAACACCTCGGGAAAGCAGATCCTTCGCCTTCGGCAGAACTCAGGTGGTCTCAGGTGTCTCTGGCATCTGTTGTGAGTCTATACCCAATCAAGGACTCCTTCCCACCGCCGTCATCCACCAGTACATCCACCAACACGTGTGGTTTATCATAACCAAAGGAGGTGGGGGCCTTCCTCACCGGGGTGGGCTCATGCTCTGTGGTCTTTGTTTCCGGGTCACTATGTGGGAGGAATTCCGAGTCAGCTATGGAGCTGCCTGATCCCACGAGGCCGCTGTCGGAGCCATTTCTGGAGTGATAGGTGGTGATGCTACAGGGCTCTGACTGGTTGCTACTTAAAAGGGAAGAACTGCCTCTCTGTCTTGGGGTTGGAGGGTTGTCGGGGGCCACAGTGGAAGTACTTCCTTCAGGGATCACAGTCTCAGTTCCACTTAAAAGTTCCCCATGTTCTGTTGCTCCTGGGTTGTCTGGAAGTGTCACCGTGGACAGCTGATCTTCACAGATCACCTTCTCATTCTCTAGAACAGCTGGCTGGCCTGATGTGGCAAGTGATGCATACTTGGATTCAGGTTTTGTCTCTGAAGTGGCATTTTTTACCACAGAGAGCTAAGTTGAAAGAAAGCAAGTAAAGATAGGAAATTATTGAGCTTAAACGCCTGTTAAAAAAGAAAAGGCATAAATGCAAATAACATATTTCAGAAAACATAATTCAGATAAGGTCACTGCATTTTTTTTTTTCTTGATCTTTTTGTTTGTTTGAGACAGAGCCTCATATAGCCTAGGCTGGCTTAAAGTTAGTGTGTAGCAGAGGATGGCCCTGATCGCCTTTGTGACACTCCTGCTTCCACATCCCAAGTGCTAGGACATAAAATATGTGATACCATGTGGCTTGAACTATCTGTCTGTCTGTCTACCTACCTACCTACCTACCTACCTACCCACCCACCCACCCATCACATATTTATTTATTTAAAGGCAGGGTGTTACTATGTAGCTCTTGTTGGCTTGGAACTCAGGCTGGCCTCAGACTCACAGAGATCTACCTACCTCTGTTTTCTAAGTGCTGGGATTAAATGTGAGCCACAACACCCAGTCTATTTTCTCTTTTCTTTATTTTAAAATAATTTTTAAAGATGTATTTATTTTGTTTATATGGTACTCTATCTCCATGTACACCTGCATGCCAGAAGAGGGTATCATGGTGAGCCACCATGTGGGTGTTGGCAATTGAATTCAGGGCCTCTGAAAGAGCTGCCAATGCTCTTAATTGCTGAGCCATCTCTCCAGCCCTTGCCTTTTTAATAGAATTTAATACTAAAAAGATGAAGTCATTAAATACCTCGTAAATGTATGTTGCATTTTTCACAACATCTTCTATTTGTCTGTGGAAGAGCTATAGCAAATGTTTTACTAATGTAAATTTCATGTGACTCAGCATCTCTTTAGAGTGATGTTTCTTTAATAGACACAGAACATATTCAGTCTTTCACACATTCTTATTTATGAAATTATTTCTTTAGGATAAATGATTGGAAGGGTTATACCAAAGGCTGCTGTGCCAGCAGCTTCCTGGCAAGGGGCATATAGTTACATCTTTACTGCCACTGCTGAGTCGGGGTAATTTTCCTGCTCTAATTATGGCTTAATACAGGTGGTGTCCTGCTTACTTACTAATGAGGAGGATGTATAGAACATACATGTTCTGTCTACTTACTGCTGATAGTTTATGGCTTCCTTAGAGACTGTCTACTACAGCACATTGCACTGCACCCTTTGAGCATCATATATAGTATTCCTGTCATGGCTGAGTCAATGTGTCAGCATTTCATTACCTTTAAGCACTGTTTAAACCATTTCAAGAGACAAGAATGTGACTACACTTAAATGTCAAATGTGACAGTTTTATTTTGGGTGATCTTTCCTTCTAAATGCTAACTATGATAAAATATTTGCATGTTTGCAACTCTTCAGAAGCCAAGTTTGGGAGCTATAGGCTGGTTCTTGATGGAGGATGTCCTTCTGTATGTATGTTTCTCTTATTGGCTGATGAATAAAACACTGTGGCCAATAGAGGCAGGAAGACAGGGGAGACTAGGAGACGAAGAGAATTCTCTGGGAAAGGTAGGAAGGGGAACCTGCCAGAAGGATGGATGACATGTAGCCACCAGAGGAGATACAGGTGCCAGCATTCTCCAGTAAGCCAAGACCATGTGAAAATACATATATGTATAGAAAGTGGTTAATAATAAGACAGAGCTAGTCAATAAGAAGTCCTTACTATCGGCCAACAGTGTATAATTGATATAAGTCTTTGTTATATTTTGTTATATTTGGGGCTGAGAAGGGCAGCAGGACCTGGCGGGACAAGCAAATCTAGCAACAGGCTCTCCCATATGCTGCCTCTGAGGGCTAACTCCTCATTGCCTCTTAGAGAGTCATAACTAACCCGCATCCACCACAGTGGAGCAGGGTCTTCGCTGGCTCATGCAGAAATCTCTATTGCGCTGTACACTTAACTGATTGTACCACAGTGTATTGTTCCTTCTGGTCCTTTAGCTCCTTACCAAACTTGTTTGTGTTCATCCTGAAAATTATAAAAAAGGTACCTGGTGCATAGCAAAATATAAGTGACTTTGGGTGCATGGCAGATTGAAAGATCAGTTTTTAATGAAAAGTATTATAATAAGATTAAATAGAATGCTATTCATTGGAGCCCATCACTTTCCTGAATGATCTTTAGCATTGAAGGGACAGTCAAAGAAGATTCAAACTAATGCTAGCATGAATAATGAAATATATTACCAAAGACTTAGGTAGCGTTATGCTTTTTCTCTTAAATGGATTCTTCTTGATATGCCAATATGCAAATACCAGGATAATCATTAGAAAGAGGATAAAAGGAACAACAATCAGAATCCAAATCGAATCTAAAAGAGAAAGAAAAAAAAAAAAAGGAACAGTCACAAATAAGACGAGAATACTTCTATTATACATCAAAAGTCGCAGCACCATTCTTCAGGAGATGTGCGTGTTATTATCATCCATACTTGAAAGAACACTGAAGTAGAAGTTAGCAATGTCACTGGAAACTCAGCACACACCCTAGAAGTCAGGCTCTTCCCAGGGCTTCTGTCTGAAGCATCCTGGGACTACACAGCCATGACCCAAGGTAGCTGAAATAGCTTCATAAACATCGCCACAGCCTCACAGCAGGGTGCTACCAAAAGACACTTTCCCCTCAGTTAAAAAGGCATTTTTAAAATGTCTTTCCTTAGAAGAAATAAATTCCAGCAACATCGCTGATAACTCTTAAGACAATTCAGCTCTGCCCCTTCCTTACCACATTCCCATCTGAAGACTCAGGTGCCTGTAAGTGCACACAGGAGCCCCTGCACACACATGCCCAGGCCCACAGAGGAGCATCGGACAGCGATAAAGCTCATTATGCATTTTGTCCTTACTCTGCTCTCTTATTTGCAAAGTGTCATCATCAGCGTTTCTGAGTCCACTCTTCTAAAAACAAACAGTAGTCTACATGTTGTGACAGCATGTGTCTCCGAAACAGCATTTTATAACTCTAATTGCTGCTCTAAAGCTACCTCTCTGGAATTAGTAACTACATGTTACTGCTTAATGAATGATATGCCCTATATGGGCTGTGATTAAACAAATTAAATTATCACAATAGAAATCAATCAATAAATGAAACAAAATAGTGAATATCACTGTTGTATTAGAAGTTCTATTGAAATCCGACTGGGCTGAGAAAACAGCATACAAGACCTATTCATGTGACAAGGGGGACAAAATACTAGCTGAGGTGCTGCCACCATGTGACCATCAAATCAGCCCCCCCCCTTGTTTTATTTAGGCTTTTTACATAGTTGGGTCTGGGATAAGTGATCAATTTTGCATATAAAGAAGGATTTTTGTTTTCCAAATAGCTTAATGTAAATCAGCACAAAATGCACTACGTTGTTTTAAGTCATATTTGAAGCTTTCATAGAATGGCCTGGAAGTTAATAATATTAAATTTTACATATCTGCTCTAACATTTCAGCCTAGATTTTCATTATTCAAAAAGACATATGTTGGGCTGAGGAATAGCTCAGTGGTTAAGAGCACTGGCTATCCTTCTAGAGGACCTGGGGGTTAAATTCCCAGCACCCAAGCGTCATCATATGTGACTAAAGTCCTAGGGGATCTGATGCCGTCTTCTGACCTTCTCAGGAACTGCATACATGTGGCCCATAAGACAACTATAAAGACAAAACCCCCATAGACACAAAATAAAACTTAAAAATGATAAATGAAAATAGTGAAAGTTCAGGCTACAAAATCAAAATATAAAAACAACAGGATCAGTATTAAATTTTGTGAAAAGAAATTATGGAAACAAGCCCCTTCACAACAGCTTAAAGGAAAACTAGGGATAAATGTACCAAGGAAGTACAAGACCCTGCCAAATAAAATAAAAAACCAAAAAACAAAATACTGGCAAAACAGATAGAAAGAACAAAATATGGAAAGGCTGCCCAGATTCATGGATTAGAGTGATTACAGATGCAAATATCTGTACTAGCACTGAAGTCTACAGCTTGAATACAATCTCCCTCAAAACATTAATTATATTCACCCCAGAACTAAAAGAAACAATCCTAAAATTCATATGAAATTCATCACAAAAACCCAAAAATAGCTGAGGAATCATCAAAATGCCTGACTTCAAACTAAAGTGACAGTAACCAAGCCACAGCATGCTAGGAGCAGACAGGCAGGCACACAGGCCAGTGCAGCAGAGGGGAGATCCTAGAAAGGAACCCACTAGCTACAGACCACTGAAGAGGAGAGCCTTTTCAGTAAAGATGCTGGGAAATCCATCAGCAGCATGCAGAGGACAACCTTTGCCATGTTTCCCATAAAAATCAACTCAAAATGGATCGAGGACTAGAAAACAGGAGTAATACTTGAAGACAAAGGTATAGGGATGCTCTGGACAGGGAACCAACACGAAAACATGCAAATGAATTACATAAAATCAAGCACAACAAAGGAAACAATCACAAAGTGAAGAGAATGGGAGAAAACCACTGCCATCCACTCATTTGATAGAAAGTTAATATAACTAGTTTAAAAACTTAACAAAACAAGTAACCCAGTTAAAGAATGGGCAAATGAATAGACATTCCTGAAAGAAGAAAAACAGCCAACAGAAACGTGGAAAAATATTAAATGTCCTTAGCCTTCAGGAAAATGCAAATCAAAACTATAATAGCAAATCATCTCTCTACTTAAAAGTGCCCTTAGCAAAACTACGACAGAAATGCAAGTGAGCATGTAGAAGAAAAGGAAATCATGGAGGCCATGGGCAGGGATGTAAATTAGTACAGACATCATAAAGAACAGTACAGAGGCCAGGAAAAAAAACCTAAGATATCTGCCATGTGATCCAGCAATCTCACTCCTGGGTATGTACTGAGAGAAAATGAAGATGAATAGCAAAGAGATCATTGCATGAATATTGAAGAACTACTCAAAATACCCAAGAGGGCAATGAGTGAAGAACATATCCTCTAACGTATAACACACACATATACATACCCACACACATTTACATAAACATATGTAAACACATATCAATAGTATATAGCCATACATGATTTAAAATCCTGTCATTTATAGGAAAATGGATGAAGCTGTAAGATAACATGTTAAGCAAAGTTGGCCAGGCAAGCATAGCATCTCCTCATATTGAAGCTTGAAAAAGTCAGCCTGCATAGGGTATGGTATTGCTTGCTATAATCCTAAAACTGTCAGAAATTCAAGGCCAGCCTGTTTACAAAGAAAGCTCAGGCCAGCTGGACTATACAGAGGCTTTATCTCAAAAGGCCAAAGTCAAACTAAATGTAGAGTAGTGATAAATGGGAATTAGAAAAGGCGTGGAAGAAGGGAGGGAGAATAAGGGGAGTTTGATCAGTGCTACAATATGCATATGCAGAAATATCACACTGAGCCACTGATATACACACTAAGGCATGATAACAACAAGGGTTCTCTGTAGACAAGGGTTATTCAGTTCAATGCTTCCTATGTTGCCAGAAAGTCAGTTTATGATACCTATCAGCTGCTAAATTTTATTAATAAGGTAATTATGCTCCCATTATTTAATGGTCCCAAACTAAAATGAGCATAAGGAGCTATGTGAACATGGGAACATTCTTACCTTTATCAATGTATCTATCTACTGTTTTGTGATGACTAGCATGTAAATGGCATGCATACTGGCAATGTTTTACATATGAAATCACTGACATAATCTCAGTAGAAGGGTTAAATTTTGTAAAATACTTAGTTAGCAAAGCTAGGTATAGTTGTATAGAGCTATGATAAATGGTCAGTGTTCAGATATGTTCAGTTTACATTTCTCGTTGGTATTCTAGTAGACTGTGAAGAGCTTTGTTTGAGTTTTAATGAGTGGGTTTCTCCCCCCCCCCACCCCCCGTTAATGTATTATTGACAAACTGGTATGTCCTGGATTGTGTAAGAAAGCAGGCTGAGCAAGCCACGAGGAGCAAACCATGACAAGCAAGCCAGAAAGCAACATCCCTCCATGGGCTCTGAATCGGCTCCTGCTCCAGGTTCCTGCCATGATTGCCTTTGATGAAGGACAGTGATATGGAAATGTAAGCGAAACAGCCATTTCCTTTTGCTTTTGCTCCTCAAGGTGCTTTTGTCATGGTGTTTTACCATAGCAATAGAAACCCTAACAACTAAGCCTCCAGCCAACATTTTAGTGTGCAGTCACAGGAAAACCAACACTCAGAAGAGTACCTCATCTGCACTCAGAAATACTTAACAATAATATTGCAAAGTACTTACTATATGTAGTATTTTTTCCATTTTTTTTTACTATTGTCAACATAAAAATCAGAGCTCTCACCTTCAAGAGAACAAGAAATAGTTTGTTCTAGAGCTATCATGAGCGACCACAGACCAGAAACATAGATGTACTTTGCCTCAAATTCATGTTCCAATGTGATGCAGTTTCAGAGGGTTCTATAGTTTTGCAGAGCAAAGAAAGTCATAAATCAAGAATAAACTGGTGCGTGCACCAGAGAGGCAAGTACATTGAGATGTGGAAAGGCCCATGATGCTGATGACAGTCCCAGCTCTTGGATTGGTGGAAGCTTGTGTTCTATGTTAATAGCTTCTGGGAGGTTTTTACTTATTATCACAAGACATTAGTTCAGATGCAGAGTAGGGCAAGGGATGGCTGTTCCAGAAAGCTAAAACTAGCCCAAGATAAAGTAGTTAGCCTCTGAGCCTACAGAATTCCAGTCTCTCCACAGTACTGAGATTCCCATCAGTCTCTGCAGACATAGCTTCTTTCCAGGAGTTTTCATTCAGATCATCACTTATTAATTGTGTGAGATAATGGATTTCATTATGACATTGCATATATGTGATGGGGAATGTCCTGTGTATGTTTCTTTTATTGGTTGATGAATAAAGCACTGTGGCCAATGAGGCACAATGATAGGTGGGACTAGGTTATGAGGAGGATTCTGGGAAATGAAGGCAGAGAGAAGTTGTCATGAGATCCCAGGAAGTGACATAACTGGGCAGAAACTGCCACTAGCTAACCACAGAGGTCTGAAAGTCTGCACAGACAGGCAGGGAGTGACATGGCTGGGAAAATCAGAATATAAGCAGGGACAAACACGAAATCGCTTTCTTCTCTTCTCTGAGGACATGCTGAGTCAGTCACCATGTTGGATGCCAGAGAATTAACAGGTCCCAAGACCTTTCTTCAGTCAGAGAAGACCATAAGGAAATACTTAGATTGATAGAAATGAGTTAATATTTTAAGACAGAGCTAGCCAATAATAAATGCTAGTCACTGGCCAACAGTTTCATAATTAATAGAGCGTTCATGTGCTTCATTGGGGCTGAGAAGGGCAATGGGACCTAGCTAGGCCAGAAAACTCATGTTATATCTATGCACGTGTTTTGATCATCTCCAGTTCCCAACAAGCATACTCTATTCCTCCCTCCAGGGCCGGCATGCCTGTTCTCCTTTCCCTACCTACAAGCTCTCCTTTGACTTTCTCAAATATCTCTATTGTTTTCTTTTATTATGGTCACACATATACATTTTATACATACATACAAATACATACATGCAACCTGCTACATCTGTGTAGAGTTGCAGACCACAATTGGGAGCTCATGCCTAAGGAGACCGAGTGCCCCCCTTCCCCCCAGCAGTCATTCATTGCCTGTAGTTCTTCATTCAGGCGTGGGGACTTCTAAGATTCTACCCATCCATTTTGGCATGTCAAGTGGGGCTTCCATTGTTTGGGTCTTACTTAGGCAGCCACAGAGGTGCGATTTCTTGGGTACAGCTTCCTTGACATATAAAAGGAGACAGCTTTGTATTCTAACTCTTAAAATTGTTCCATCTCCTCTTCTGCAATATTCCTTGAGCCTTAGGTGTAGGGGTTGTAGTTATATCAATGGTAACTTGACACTCCATAGTCGGTCATTCTCTGCATTATGACCAGTTGTGGTGTTTCATTTCCTAACGGCCTCTGCTGAAAAATGAAGCTTGTTTGATAAGGGGTGAGAGCCACACTTTTCCGTGGCTACACAAGCACGGGTATTTAGAATACAGTTAGGAATTATACTGGTTTGGGAAAATGACAGTAGTAGGTTCTAGGTTCCACACCTCACTAGTCATGGGCAGTTGGCTAAATTTACAGTGCTAGGCATGAATTCCCTTCTATTTAGCATGTCTTAAGTTCCAATTCATTGGCTGTTGGTTATGCCCAAGACATCAATCCCACAGTTTGGGGATATCTTGCCATGCTGATCATTGTTGTGTTTTATAAATGTCATAGTTGGGTAGGAGTACTGGTTGGTTTTCTTTTCAACTTCCTTTTCAATTCCATTCACTGTTCCCCTGGAGACAGTCATTTGAATTAAGTAAATAAATAAATAAAAAACTAGTACCGTTTTTTAGCATTGAAAAGATATTCTTAAAAAAAAACTTGAAAACAGGAAAATAAACAAGAATATAATTATAAAATGAAATATCCTACAGAGTATATAAAAGGAAATGATAGGATATTAATAAATCCTTAAATTTTTTGTTTTTTGAGACAAGGTTTCTTGCTTTGTAGACCATGTTGGCTGGAACTCACAGAGACCCACCTGCCTCTGCCTCTTCTTAAAATATTCTTATATTTAAAAAGTGCAATAAAGTGCATGGCTTCTCAAAGTGGTCAAGACCAGGCTGGAGAAACCCACAGAAACAGCTGACCTGAATGAACAAGGAGGAGCTCATGGACCCAAGTCTTATAGCTGGGAAACCAGCATAGGACTGACCCAGACCCCCTAAACATGGGTGTCAGTTAGGAGAACTGGCCAGTCTTTGGGAGTTCTGGTAGTGGATCAGTATTTATCCCTAGTATACGAATGGACTTTGGGAGCCCATCCCACATAGAGGGATACTTCCTCAGCCTAGATACATGAGGGAGGGTCTATGCCCTGACCCAAATGATATGACAGACTTTGAAGATTTCCCCCATGAAAGGCCTCACCCTTCCTGGGGAGCAGAAAGTGGATGGGATGGGGGTGGGGGGGAGGGACAAGGGAGGAGGGAAGAGTGGGAACTGGGATTGACATGTAAAACAAGATTGTTCCAAATTTAAATTGAAAAAAAAAAAAAAAGTTCATGGCTTCTTTATTTTGTGGGGAGGGGAAATTATTGCATTTATTGTAGTTGAAGGAAAGCCTGTCTAGAATGAATATGCAAGTAAAATCAGCTTTGATAGCAAGTAAGTCAATTGTGAAGTGCATCTGTTAAAATGTTCTCTATGGAAGAGTTACCCTTTGAAATTTGAAGCGCATAGGCACATAGTACACAAAATTGTATACACTACACAGTATCATCACAGATATATGGAGAAACCCAAGATAAAACCAGGATGCAAAGAAAACACCCCAAAAACTATGACTAAGGATAGGACTCCAGGTAATCGTTTCTTCTAACTTTAAAAACAAGCTACATTTTAATTTACTTGTATGTGGACACCTGCACGCACATGCCAACCCACACGAGTGGAGATTAGTGGACAATTGAGGGAGTTGGTTGTCTTCTAGGATGTGTATCTGGGACCCAACTGAGGCCATCAGTCTTGGAGGCAGGTGCCTTTTCCCACTGGGGCAGCTTCATGGTCCGCTTCAGGCTTTTCTCAAGTTGACACATTTTCATATTACCATTCAAAATACAGTTATTTGTGTACATGACTTTATGTATTTGTTATGTATCTTTTCTTTCCTGGGTCAGTCATCTGGTGGTGTTCCAATTTCATTGCTTTAGTATATTTCAGTGCCAGAGAAACTGTCTTGCTTTTAGTTATGAGCTTCTCTGGGGAAAGGGACTATTGGATATTTTTAAAAGAAAAGACAGGTGCTTAAGTTATAAATCAACCCATTCCTTTTCATGTTGCCCTACTTCAATTCGCATTTCCTCTGTCTTCAGCTGGAGGAAGGCACAGGCTTACCTTTTCTGTTGTTATGGGCAGGAGAAACACATGTTTCTTTTGATTTTTCTGTTGTAATTTCCCAGTATTCTGACAATCCATTTACTGAGACACAGTATCTGGAATCCAGTGTGGACACTGAGATGTTGAACTGGCACAGGGTTTCATTGCAACCTTCCATATTGATTTCATGCTTTGTATATAGGATCTACATGGAAAAACAATAATATGAAAGTGTATGGCTTCTTTAATCTGAGGGAAAAAGATCATTGCATTATCCTAGTTAAGCACAAAGGAAAACATGGACAGAATGAATAGGAAATTAAAATCAGCTTTGATATCAAGTAATAAGTTGATCTGTGGCTTAACACAGCATGAGGAGGAACATCTTTTAAAATGTTTTCAATTGGAACAGGTATTGTTTAAGACTTGAAGAGTGTAAGTGTTCAAGGGCTCAATGGGAAACAGGGCCCAAGATCTCAGTGAGGCACACTGATATTGCCACCTCAGAGACAGTCCACGCTGGGTACCTGAGCAAGCTAACAACTCTGCCTTTGTGTGTCCAGCTCCTAACTCGGGTGATCATGTGGTATAGTTTGTAGAAGGAATGAAGTGTGAGGGTACAAGGGGTCCCTCCGGGCATTTTAATGTATTTACTGTGCAGGGAAACTGCAGCCTCAAGTAGCTGCTTCCTTATGCCTCCTGTGAAATGCTTTCCTCTCTCCCCAGCGGGTTCCAGTACTCTAAGAACTGGATAAGCAAGTATTGGCTAGTTCCACCGCCCGGGACACTTATACTCTTCAAGTCTTAAACAATATCGTAAACAGGTCTCATGAGAAATAGTTAAACTTTGAGTATAAAATGTCCCTCCAGGCTTATGTAGTAAGGCCTAGGTCTTCAGTAGGTAGTGATATTATGGGAGGTTCTGGAAAGTTTTAGAAGTAGAGTATAACGGGAATAAATAGGTCATTTGGGGTTTAGCCCTTGAGGATGCCTTGCCCTGGCCACTCCTGACATGAAGCCAGGTGACCATGAACTGAACCCTCAGAAACTGGGAGCCAAAACAAACTCTTCCTTCTTTCGGCTGTTTCTGTTAGCTGTGTGGTTGTGGTGATGAGAAAGCAATGAATATAGACATCCTTAGGTCACAGGGCATGCCCCTGAAACGTACTGAGATCCCCGACCCCCATTCCTCGCCACTGCCTCCCTCGCTTCTGCTCTGGTTTGAGAGGAAATCTCTTGTGATAGTAGTGGATAGCGTGGCGCATGCCTTGTGTGTGTGAGGTCATGGGTTTGGATGCCAGCACGAGGAGAGAGGGAGATCTCCTTTCATCATGTGCACATGCACCGCTGTCACGTGCCCCATCCACCCTCACCAGAGCTGAGTGCATATAAACGTCACCCTTTGTGTCTCTGAAAGTGACCGGTGTTTGTTCAGGTCACTCATGCATGTGTATTGCAGTGCCTGTTTAATATGCTAACTATGTGGTGCAGATAAGAGGTAAGACATGTGACAGAAAGGCAGGACCACTGTAAGACCAATCTTGTAAGGAACAAGAAAAAAACAAAACAAAACAAAACAAAAAAAAAAAAAAAAAAAGCTGAGCCACCTGCTGAGTATGGCAAGAATATAAAGAGGAGAGGACAGCCCCTGAACCCAGACTAAGCAGGAATGTGCTAGAGGGAAATGGTGAAGGGCATTCTGGGAAAGTACATGGAACTTCCAATGAGCCCTGGGGAGCAGCATCTCACTCAAGAGGAAAGAACAAAACTCAGCCCCTCCAATGGCTGCTTTGTCCCCTGTCCCCTGTCCCCTCCTCCCAAGATCATTGGCCCCTGATGCTGTCCCCACATGCCAACTGTGCCTCTGCTGAGATCCCTGCCTTTCCTAGGTCCTATGCTTCAAATGATGTCCCCACGCACAGCTGCAGGGACCAGCTTCTAACTCCAGTGTTGACTCTGGCTGTCACCTGTCCTGCCAGGGTTCTCTGACTCCTGCCCTGCCCTGCAACTCACTATTCCATCCCTGCAAACTATTTACACCCTTCTCTGCTGCACTGCGATTAGCCCGGGGTTTGTCTGTACTGGTCATTTCCGTAACTCTGTGTACTTAGAGGGCACACGGAAGGGTCTTGATAAATATTAAACAAACCAATTAGTAAATGGAGACATTGTGCAGAATGGAGGGAGCATAGTTTGAATCAAAATAGGGACTCCATACCATTACCAGAGTAATTATATCATTGTAGTTGTACTTTCAGAAATAAATCATAGATGTATATTATTTTATAAGCTACATATTATCAGTAAGGAAAGAGAAAATAATCCTAAGATGATTTCCATATTACCAGTAGAGAAACAGGCATATAAAACAGGTGACATTCTAGAAAGGGCCCTGTGATTAACCAAAGAGAAAACTTAAGTGCAGCATCTAGCCAGTGTTGGCAATTAACTCCATTCTGGGTCCCTTCAATAGTATTTAAGTAGTTTTGTTTTATCGTAGCAGAAATCTATGACCCATGAATCTTATTGCATATGCATGAGTAGGCTACCTTCATTACAGTTTATGACAACAACCTGCACAAGCAACAGAATGATTGCTATATTTAAAAAAGATAAAGAGAAAACACACACCTCCCCACTTCTATTGCTTTGCACATATATGGTGTAGAAGAATGTGTGACAGGTGCTTTCGTCCTCAAACATGACCCCATGCCTTTCTCCATTTATAATAACCTCAGGGTGAAAGACATTGACAGTGAGCTGGTCTCCCTTCCCTCTGATGTCCAGTTTCGGTGGTCCAACTTTTCCTGGGGAGAAAGGGAAAGTATAATTCCTCCCAGCACAGCTACTACATCTACTCAAATCAATGGACACATTTCAACAACTCTGCAAAATCTAGAAGGCATTCTAAGAATAGCATTTAATAAATCCTGGACAAGAAGTTCTTTCTGAAAATGCCCTTATTTATTTGTTTGTTTATGCATTTAGTACATGTGTGAGTATTTTGTCTGTGTTTGCATCTGCATATCATGCACATGCCTGGTGCCTGTGGAGGTCAGAAGAGTTCCCTGGAGCTAAGTTCCAGACAGCTGTCAGCTGCCATGTAGGTGCTGGAATTTGAACCAGGTCCCCTGGAAAAATAGTCAGTGTTCTTAACCACAGAACCATGTGGCCAGCTCCTGGAGAGTTGGTTAGTTATCTTCCCCACTGATGGGTGTCTGGCAGGATGGTTCTAAGAAGTTTGCTAATGTTTCAGTTTTCACTGTAGCAGTCTATACACAGCCTCTGTGCCTGGTGAATGGGGCCTGTATGGTGAACATCTGTGTATGCTTCTCATATGTACCACACACACACACAGTCCTCCACCCAGATGTGGGTGGCATTGACTCTCAGGCACACATTCTAGGACACAACAGGTCCTTGATAAACTTGTGGCAGACAAATCTGACATAAAGATGGCATGTACCATATGAACCCAGAGAATAAAAATAAAGTAAGCAAAGGGAAAGCCTTGGGTACACCCAAAAAGCTGGGGCAGGATCAAGGCAAGGGGACACCACAGGCATGGCAGTGTGGATACAACCAGGCACAGAGGATGAGCTGGGAAGGAAGGGAAATTGCAAGGGATGTCATTGGGGCTAGCAGACTAGAGCACAGGCTAAGGTGGAATGCCCCACCGAGATTAGAACTGAATGTTCTGGAGTTGGAGTGAGAGCTGAGACCAGTAAACTATATATAGGGTAGGATTCTGGGAGGATGAAGCTTAAAACCTTGGACTCAGAGACATGAAAGAACTCTAAACTTCTGTTTCTTTGGGATGGGCTGGCTTCAAATTCTTTACTAACCCTTGATCTTTCTGCTTGAGGCCCCTATCTAAGATAGGGGTCGGCAGAGCTTGCTGGAAACTTTAATGTATTTATGTATTATTATGTTAGTATTTATGCTTCCAAGTTCTTCAAGGACTTATGGGAGGTAAGAGGAATGAGCTCTGTGGCCAAATTCTGTGTGATCTAACTTTGAAATGACTTCCACATTATACAGGGAGGGAAAGGCCGATGTCTAGCCAAGCTGAACAGCAATGTTCAGGATGTGAATGAACTAGATGCGAAATGGTTTTAAAGTGGCAAAGTATAGGCCAGTTTAGTGTTGTTTTGTGGGCCTGGAAGGAAAAGACAATGGCTCCTTAAATTCTGCCATATATTTGCTAGACACTTGTAGCAACTATCAATAAAAGCAAACATAGACAGAAGTGTGAGAGCTTCAAAATTAAAACGTATCCATGTAGGGACTAGAGAGATAGCTCGGTAGTTAAGAGCACTGGCTGTTTGTTCTTCCAGAGGACAGTTCCCAGTACCTACATGGTAGTTACCAAATACTTGTAATGGCAGTCCCAGTGCACAGACAAGCAGGAAAAGCTTGTACAAAAGTACATACACAAATAAAAATTTTAACAAGTTACCCACATATAGACTCTACTTACCCTGTCGGCACATAATAAACTCTCTTGACACTGCATAGGCAGATTCTTTCTGTCTAAAATTAGCTTTAACTCTGGCCCAGACAGATACGCCGGGATATTTAATTTGTTCATAGATATTACAACAATGATTAGAAATGTTGGTGCAGGAGTCAATCCATCCATCCTCCCTAAAATGAAAAGGAAGAGAGACACATGGTAAATCTCATTACCACACAAACTTCAGCCATCCAGCTTGTATTTTGCATTGCATCCAGCCAGCTGTTTGGAAGAGCTGAAATAAAACAAGACAGAGAAGCCAGATGAAAGAAGAAATCCTTATTATTGAATTGGAGGTACAAAACCAGCATCCTTAATCCAAAAAGCCAGTAATTCAATGGCTCTAAAATCTAAGCCTTTTGAGCACTCATCTGATGTCACAGGCAAAAGATGCTACACCATGCAAAGTTGTTTGTTTCCTGCATAAAATTTGTTACTCAAATATAATATAAACTAGGGGAGTAGCTTAGTAACAGAAAGCATGTGGGGCATGTGGAAAGCCTGAGGCCTCATCATTACAAAAATTATATTTAAAAGAATGGATAAAACACCAAAAAAAAAAAAATTACAACAGCTACTTTTAGGTTATATGTAGATAAAGTAAATATGACCTACGTCTCATTTTTAGACTTAGGCCCAGACTTACGATATCTACTTAGGTATCAATAAACCTTTCAAGATCTGAAAAAAGTCAGAATATGAAATACTTCGGGTACCAAGCATTTGAGATAAGGCATATTTAACCCTGTAGATTCCTGCATAAGAGATCATATAACACATTTCATATTTAAACTCCACTTTTAAACCCTTATGACTCACACAGATGTGAGTCAATTACAAAATCAGACACATTACCAACCACTCTTCATTGTGGTCAGGCTTTTTTGTTTGTTTTATTTTTAAATTTATCTCTCCAATAAAATTTACAGGTATTACAGGAAGACATCAACCTAAGGTAGCAGCTTCACTTGCCAAATCTAAACATTTTAGAAGTTCCTTGTCCACACAAGAGCTTTTCATTCTCCACACTTCACTATTATTTAATGACAATAAAGATATAGGGTTACTTTACTATTCTTGCTGATTTTGCTGCTTAAGCTGTGCCATCCTTTGGCCAGTAAGAGCCTACTCCAAGATGCCTATTGGAGCCTTTTGACATTTCCCCATCAGTTGTTTATGCCACAAGGGATACTTTCTAATTCCCTTCTGTCTTCCCAGGCTGGGGTTGTTGCTTGGAGGTACAGTGCTCATTTATATGAACAAGTTGGACCTCAGCCTCACAAAGACAAACAAAAATCCACTAAACCAATCAAACAAGTTAACCTTCATCAAATACCTATAAAAATCTTCACTTTGTTTCATGGCTTAACCCTGGAATCAGCATTTCGCTAAGGAAAACATGAGGCTCTAACTATTGGTTTCCACAACATTGTTACCCATTCCTGCAGGAAGCCAATCTCTCTGGCTTCAGGGTTTTCATTCCCTGAGCTTTTCCTGAAGTGAGACAGCTCCCATGCAATCAGTTCCTCTCATTCACCTTCCCCAATGGAGCACAGTGCATATGTCCTACAGAACTTAATTTTTATTTTCATTGAACAGTATAGTCTGGAAATCACTACGTTCAGATCCATAAAATATGAAATTACCTTCATCTTTTATAAAGCTAATACAGAAATCCATTTTGTAGCAGTCATGTGTTCAATCTCCCATTCAATCTCAAGTTGTATTTTTATGACAGTGTATCTTACAGGTAAGTTCCTAATGTGGAATCAACAGATCTAAAAGCAGACACTGACTGGAGAGATAGCTCAGTCAATCAAGTGTTTGCTATGCAAAAGCAAGAGGGCCTGAGTTCAATCCCCAGAACCCATGTTAAAACAAAACAGGAATGGTATTTGAGATTGTTCCCACCCTCTACAAGTATGTGTATATACATGCACACATTCCTGCATATGCACCACACACACACACACGCGCGCGCACACACACACACACACACACACACACACACGCACGCAGGCACGCATGCACGCACGCACGCACGCACGCACACACACACACATACACACACACAGGAACATGCACTCACACATACAACAAACACAAATGCAACATGGGAGCTGGCAGTGTAGCACAATGGAAGACAGCTTACCTAGCATGTGCAAAGCCTTGGGTGTGATCTCCAGCACCACAAGAAAAGAAAACATGCCAAGGTATGCATATTAAGTTTTATCAGATAAACATTCTTCCCCCAGGGCCAGATCTATTTGCATTCACATTAATATGTATGAGGGTTTCTGTCTCCCACAGTTTTCAAACAGAATATGTTTTTTAGTTTACTTGGAGACTAGAAGGAAATCTTGCACATTTGTAATACTTCCCTACTTCACTACTGACAAGAACCAATCTGCATTCTTAGCATTTTGCAACATATGCAGACAGCTGATAAAAGTTTAGTGAGTTGGAAGGAGGGATGATGGAGGAAAACAGAGTTATGAAATATGCAAGGATCCAGATTAACACAGATAGAAATATTAAATGAGCAATACTCACCCATAGTTCTTTACCTGTGCAGTAAAAGTGGGGGTCTGTGGCATGTCCTGGTATTCCCAGCACAGGACAGGGTTCAAATTATAAGACTTAATTAGAACATTAGTTGGCACAGGCACTGTAAGAGATTCAAAAACAAAATGGGTCACAGTAAGACACTAACACTAGCAACAGAAAACCTTATGCGATGACAAGTTAGAGAAATGTGCACAGTGCACATGGAATTGGAAGTCAGTACCGAAGATTCTGAAGCCATTTCAATCAGAGCAAACTCACAGGACGTGTTCTATTGGAAATGCACAAAGAGGTCCGATTTGCTTTAAGCTGTCAACACTTCATGACATAAGCTGTAGTGGTTAACCCTCAGGGTGCTCTTGAACATGTTTAGTCTCTCAGTAGAGGAACCTCTGCATGTGTCTGTGAAGGTGGTTTCCAGAGATGTTCAGTTGAAGAGGGAAGACCCACCCTGAACATAGGAGGCATCATTCTAAGGCAGTGGGTCTCAACCTGTGGGTCGAGTCCCCTCTGGCAACCTTCTATCTCCAAACAAAAACATTTACATCATGATTCATAAGTTTAGCAAAATTAAAAGTTATGAAGTAGCAATTAAAATAGTTGTATAGTTGGGGGTCACTGCAACATGAGGAACTGAATTAAAGGGTCGCAGCATCAGGAAAGTTGAGAGCCGCTGTTCTAAGTGGTCCCAGACTGATAAAGGGTCGCAGCATCAGGAAAGTTGAGAGCCGCTGTTCTAAGTGGTCCCAGACTGAATGAACAGGAAACGGGTGGAGGGAGAAGTGAGGATCTTCATCATCTCCTTCTTCCTGACTGGGGTCAATGTGACTGAGCTACTCCTACCCTCAGCTACCATTCCTCCTCAACTGCTGCAAACTATATAATCCTCAGACTGTAAGTCAAAACAAGGTCTTCCTTCCTTAAGTTGCTTCTATTGGGTATTTTGAAGCAGCAACGGGAAAATGAACTAATATATACGGGAAACACAAACACAGCATATGACAATCAATTCCCACAATGTTTTGGTGGTTCTGATAAATAAACACACCGCCTACCATAAGAACCACTGTTTACTCCCTTCACTGTGGTTAGCAGTTTTCCTAAGTGCCACACTGACTGCTCTCAATGTCTCAATGTCTATAGAAGAACTGGCCACACCAGGGATCCCCTCTCTCACCCTTGGAACCATGGGCTCTCACACTGCCTCCCAGGGGAGTACACATTTGCTGTCCTTTTCCACACAGCACATGCAAATCTGTCTGGCTACAAGGGAAGCACCCAGTGGTCACCTCAGTTTCATCAACTCTGCTCCCTGGGATGTGCCTTTTTCTCCTTTAGACACACCTGAATGATGTGTGGGGAGGACTCAGGAGAGCCACATGATAGAACAGGTGGATGAAGGTAAATGTAAAGATGATGTAGTGACCCTGAATTTAAGGTGGGTCCCTCTTCTTTGGACATTAAGCATGATTGACTTAAAAAGTTAAAACCCATCAATGGGTGGCAACGTGAGCAGGTACAGCTGCTCTACCCACACCTTGCCATCTGCTGTGAGTACTCTCAACACCCACGCCCATGTATGTAGCTTTTCAATATACTGATACTAATGGTGCTTACTTACATTGCTCTAATTAATAATTATACCCCAGGCCAAATCATTAAGAAACCCAAGTCCTTTTCCTGGTTATCTGTTAAATGGCTATTTTGGACTTTATCATCTATTGAGTGGCACATCGTGAGAGTGAGTTTTAATTTTCTAACTTGACATTCCTAGACATTATCTAGGAAGAGAATCTGAGTACAGGATTGTACAGATCAGGTTGTTGTGTGGACATGGCTTGTGAGGGTTTGTTTTGGTTATGTTCACTGATGTTTAAAGGAACCTAAAAGAGGATGGTACAATTCCTGAATTTGGAAAGTGAGCAATTAGCATATATATATATATTAATTCACTTCTCTCTGCTTTGAGAGTAGATATGACCTGGCCAGCTGCTTCAAGTTCCCTTAGCCTGGACTTCTCCACAACAACACACAGAAATCTAGAATTGTGAGCTTAAATAAATAAACCCTCTTCCTTTCAGTTGCGTTTGTCAGAGTATTTTTTATCACAGCAACAGAAATGAAACTAGGACACTGATTAATTTACATATGCAAGATGTCTGCTTGGGAACACCGACCAGATTTTTTTTTTCTTCTAAAAGAAATGTTTTTAATATTTAAGACCAGACTGGTCTGCAGTTTTAACTTATAATTATTTAACATATATATTATCTTTTCATCTAGGGGGCTGTAGGTCAGTGACAGTGTGGTTGTTTAGTATGAGGGAGGCTGTAGGTTGATATTCCAACACCCCCACCCCATGCCACATAATCAAAGGACACACATTCTACTGTCATTCCCCCCCCCCAAGAACTTCTTCCTTAAGTTATGACTTACAACAGGACATGATTTTGGTTCCCCAGGGGACATTATGCAATGTCTGCAGACATTGTTGGTCCTGATAACTTGGACTCCAAGTTGGGAAGGAATACAACACAGGCTTCTGGAGAATAAAGGTCAGAAAGGCTGCTGAATATCCAACAATGCACAGGAGAGGACAGCCCCACCACAACAAACCCAGCCCCAAAGGTCAAGAGCATAGCATTGAGGAACACTGCTTTGCATGCTTATAATTCCAAGTTGCTCTTTACTCTTTGGGAGGAGAAAATGCTTTCATTTTAAAATGCTTTATGATTACTGTACTTCATTCTCTCCGGTAGATTTGTTTTGTCAAAATATCTAGCTTCTATATAATGTATCCATGTAGGGTAAAGCTTTTGGCAAATACTGAGCTTATGAAGACGGATGGTGGGGTGGCTGTCCCCAGTGCCAGACTCAGCAGCACTTTCCAATCTTTTGATCATTAGCCAGACAACTTAAAAGTTTCTGCTACGCTTCCAGCAACATTGCAGATGCTTTCTGGGACATCAGCACCTATCCGCTTTGGTTTTCTAAGCAACTTCCTTGAGTGCAAGACTAAAAATACTGGTCTTGCTTGGCTCCTTCCTCTCCTGCTTTTTGGACAACTGCCCATGATCATTCACAGCAGGGAAACCTGGGGATCCCTTAGGAAGGTGCTCTTTTATGGGGTACATCTGTACTTCAGCCTTGTTCCAATTAATAATCCATGGTTTAAGAAAAAATAAAAGCTTCTACTCTCTCCCTCAAGAACAATTCAAGATTAATATCAAATAACCAGCACACAATGACTATAGCATATCTAAATAAATCAGCTTGCTCCCCGCCCCCCCCCATACACACATACCACGCCATACAAATCTCAAACCAAACTAACACACTAACAGAACTGGGTGTAGAGAAGCACACTTGTAATGCCAGCATGTAAGTGGAGCCTAAAAACCCAGGTCAGGTCAGGGTTCATGCCGAATCTTAATTACTTTCAGAAGCCATTTCTCAATTGCAGCAGCAGCTGCCTCTGCAGAGCCTAAAAATATCAAATCATCAGTTCCTCCCCCTCACTCTCCTCCTGACTCTTTTTCTGTGGGAATTTCATGCATGCACATGATGTTCTGACCAAATTTATCCCCACTCCCCCCATCCATGTCCCTCATCACCTAACACTCCCAATTTCAGGAGCTGATTGTGTGGACATGGAAGCCATCTCCTGGGAGCATGTGCAGCCTGACATTGGGGGTTATCCCTGGATATAACTGACACTCTCTTTCCCCTAGTAGCCATCAATTGCCAATAGTTCTCAGTAAGGTGGGTGAGGAGTGGCATTCATGAGCCCTTCTCCCATCCAGGCTGGGATTTTGAATGGCTTGACCTTTATCCTAAAAAACAAACAAAACAAATTTATCTTGGAATAAACCTAACCAAGGAAGTAAAAGATGTGTACAATGGAAACTTTAAAACAATGAAGACAGAAATTAGACACCAGATGATGAAAGACCTTCCATGCATATGGAATTTGTAGGATTAATATTTCTGAAAATAGCTATCTTACCAAAAGCAATAAACAGTTTCAATGCAATCCCCATCAAAATTCCGATGATTTTAAAATTCATATGGAAGCACAAAAGACCCAGGATAGCCAAAACAATCCTGAGCAATAAAAACACTGCTAGAGGTATCACATTCTCTGATTTCTGCCTATACTCCAAAACTATCGAAATAAAATAGCACAGTACCTAAATAAAAACAGAGACATTAATCAACTGGATAGCACTGACAATCCAAATGTAAGCCCGTGCTTCTATGGTCACCTGAATTTTGACTAAGAGGCCAAAAACACACTGAGGAAAAGACAGCACTTTCAACAAATGGTGCTGGACAAGTCAGACAGCTGCATGCAGAAGAATGATGCTAGACCCTCATCTCTCGCCTTGTACAAAACTGCAAAGGGATCAGGAACCTCAACAAAAGACCTGGCTGCTACTGCGTTTCTTTTAAACAGTCAGTCTTTTCCATAGTTATTTGTCAGCATTTACATTTTGATAAGAAATGAGCAAATACCAGGTGGTGCCTGCAACACTTAGCCTGGACCCTCCTTGGCTGAACCACATAGCTCCTGAAGCACATCTGCTCACACATCATTAAAGGCAGTAGCCCCTAAGCCTCCCACCTCCATAGCAAAAAGACCCCCTTCCTCCAACTTTTAACAACAAGCTCTTTACTTCCTTTAAAATCTTTCAGGCTTTTTAATGTTTATTTTTATGCCCGTGAGTGCATACTGGGAGGGCCTGATGTCTGTGGAGGTGAGCAGCCTTGGGGAGATAGGCTTAGGACTGTAGTTAGGAACTTAGAGTATGAATCTTGTGTGATGACCCTCATCATAATAAAATATAACTTACAACTACACACATCTACCTTCTTGCTTGAGACAGTAGCCCAGGCTGACCTTCAAATCACTCTATAGTCCACATCAAACAAATGGATAGTAGGAAGGAGTTTCAATGAATTATAGCATGAATTACTACTAAAGAGAAACTTTTGGTTTATACCAAAAGACATCACCTATGGTTTAATAGAACCAGAAGAAAAAACATGTGGTTAGGTTATTAGGTACCACTTTTGTCTTTGCCAAACTTACACAACTGTCACATTTTTCACTAAGTTTCAGATTTTATCACCTGACCCTTAAATTACAGTATAGAGTACTTAAAATAATTAAGACCCACAGCAAATCTCTATTCAGGATATATTTACACTGTATAAATAAAAAGACATGTAGAGAAAGCAAAGAGGCATTATTATCTATGGAGTTTAAGATACAGCTAGAATGGTTTCATGGACTAAAACTATCTTACAGATTTTGTGGTCTCCTGAAAACAGAGTTTTCTGTAACTTGCTGTTTTCAAAGAAGGGCTCAGAATTATTTGACGATCTCATTCCCAGACTCTTTCAACCAAAGGTTGTAGCTGAAGGGTCATAATGAAAGGAAGCATCTGTCCCTTTTCCAAATGACTGACTTTTGGAGCAAAGATCTACTGGCTTGCAGATAGGGAGATCTGTACAGGAACACAAAGGTGATTTTGTATTGTAAACTGATAAATGGTATAAGAATTCATATATATATAAAAGATACCAAGGTTTTGTTGTTTTTATCAAAATAAATTTATGGCTACCTTCTCCCTCTGGTCATTTACAATCTGAGGGAAGAGGTGTTTTTCTTCAGCATTTCAGCTTCTAATTTGGAAGGCAGCAGCATGCCTTGGGTTTAAGCTGAACAGGGGTAATTTGAGACTTCCTTACCAATTCCTTTGCTTGGCAGTGACTGACCCCCAGGGCCTTATGGATGCCAGATATGTGTTCTATCACTGAACTATAGCCAAAGCCCCTGGACTAATTTATCTTAAAGTTGAAAAATAGTTCGGGAACTGAAAATAAAACTAGCCTTTTCCACTAAAAACAAAACAAAAAACAAGTAAATGCTAGAAAAATGAGCGTTTTCTCCTGAGCAAATTTTAAATTTCTTATACTGATCTAGATTTTTTTAAGGCCAATACACACCTTTATATATAACTAAAATAATTAACATTTAACATTATCAATTAAAGTAACAATATACACATTAAGTGACAATAGTTATTCAAGTATTTCAAACTCTACAGGGCACATCTCAGGTAGTCCCACAGCCACCCTATGAATGACATAGGATTATGGTGTACTTTATCAAAGAGAAAACAAAGCTTCAGGGAAGGTAGGAAAGGTAATGCTTTGTTCATTTTCACTAAATCCTTGTGATTGTTTAGAAAAATAAGGGCTATAACCTCCACTTATAAAGGGGGAGTGGATAACAGTTTTCTGATTCTTTCACAACAGTCTACTTCATGCAATGGTACTGTTTTTTGGATTGGTCACAACTGTGTAAAGCCACCATAAAAGCTGAATAACAGCAAGTCACTTCCATAACTCAGACAGGACTAAATGGTGTATTTTGATTATGAATCCCTGGGACAGCTAAACTAAAGAGCCTCTTTAATAAGAAAATTATATATGAACCAACTCCTTTCTCTCAAGAAGTCACTCCATACTGATCAAAATCTTGTTCTGAGTACCTACCTGAACAACGGAAACAAAACCATCTACACTATTGCTGTGGGTTGCTAAACTTTGTATGTTAGCTTTTAAAAGCTAGTATTTGTTTCCCATCTCTTAGGGCTTGTTTTAGAATCAAAATGCCATCTTCCAAAATCTGTAGGGATTGTGAATCAGAAGTGGACACTTGAAAGTAATCTTAACTGTAAGCAAAAGGAACGGGCGCAATGGTCCGAGGCTAAAATCCCAACATGCAGAAGGCTGAGCCAGGGAGTTCAGCGGGAGACTAGCTTGGGTTATACAATGAGTAGAAATAAAAAGATGGGAGGGCTGACCCACCCTGTATTATAAAATGCTAGGGTGCAGTTCAGAAGGGTGCAGATCTTACCATAGAGGGCAGGCTCTGAAGACTTTGAAGCCACAGAGGAGGAACCTCAATAGAAGGAAGTATCTGGCACTCCACTGAAGCGCAGCTGTGATATTTTCTCCACCCACATCCAGAGTCCAACCGACTTAGCCTTCTCAAAAGTCCTTCAAAAGGTCTCCTCTCTCCATTATACAGCCATTTCTCATGGGCTCCTCCTGACACTTAAGTTCCAGCCTCCTAATGGGCTTTCTTCTTCAAACTACTTTATATGACGCCTGGCCTTTCTACACAGCATTATCTAAACCTGCACAAGGTCACCCATCCACACCAGGAATAGGGGCACGTTACTTCCTTGCCTTGAGCCCTTCACTTCTGTCAGGAACATGGTGCTACTACTTTTGAAAAGTCCACCACACCTTTCAACAATGTCCTTCCTGCACCAGTTGGCACCCAATCAAGACAGGGAAATCAGAGTCTTCCTCTGGGATTTTGTTCGGGTAGAAGTTGCAAAACTGTCAAAGCCATGACTCCTGCTAAGCAGGCAATCTGTGCATAGCCAGGCCACTAGAAATAAGAAATGATAAGTTGTAGCCTTCTTGTGTTCCTGAAGCCAAGCTAATACCTCTCATTGTCTGCCTAACTCAGACTTGGGTTCTCTGAACCAATACACTTCTCTTTCAGGTTAAGTCAGCTAAAGCCGTGTATCCATCCCTTGCTGTTACACCCAACATGGCTCTGAATTGCTTCCCCCCCCCCCCCCCCCGCTCCCCTGACATAGTCTTAAAATAAGACACTTAACTACCCTGCTAGCTTAGCATGTCACTTCACATCCCTGCAAACACTATTCTCTCTAGACCTCTGGTTCTGAGCCTGGGTTAACTTTCTCTGTGAAATCTCCCCAGTGTCCCCTAGACAGGATCTGGGACATCTGCTTTGGTTTCCGGCAGACAGTAAGTAAGTTCAAGTTCTTATCACAGTGTACTACATTTGCCCACAATGACAGCCAACTTGACCTGGGTAATGGCAGTTGGCAGGGCGGTTAAGAGCGTGGACTCTATCACCTAGTAAGTGACCTCTACCACTTGGGCAGCCCTGTGTGACTCATCATAGATGCAGTTACTAACAATACTACATTAGATGTGGCTGTGAAAGTAGACCTGTTATGCCCTCTGTTAAGACAGTGCCCAGCACTCAGTAAGTCCTAGCCATACTGTGAGTCCTAGCCTTTGGCACCTTGTCTATCCTAAGTGATGACTAAGGATTTGTTTGCTTGACAATTTTTTTTAAAATGAGTACATCCTCTATTTAATTAACAAATGTTAAATTACCAAAGTCATAGATGTTTTTCACTTAGCATTTTCATACAGACTACACACCTGTCATCATACTTTCCAATTTGTCCCCTAGTTGTTCCTGTCTCTTTGTTTCTGGGGACCTACCTCCCCCAAGAACCCTCCCTTCTGTATTCATGTCCCATATAGTTTAGTACCCTGCTTTTATTTTCTCCTCCCTCAAGATCTGTTCCTACCCTCTCATGATCTCCTACACACACACACACACACACACACACACACACTCTTACACACACTTAAATCTAGGTATATATGGTAAGAAAATATAGAATTTTTTTTCTGAATCTGGCTCTTACAACTAACACTACGATCCCATTTTTCTGCAATTACAATTTCATTTTTCTTTATACCTAAATGGAATTTCATTTTGTATATGCGCCCTATTTTCTTTCTCTGTTCTTTTGTCGACTGACATCTAGGTGGCTATTTCCCATCTATTGTGGATAGTTTTGCTTGATCTTTGAGGCTCAAGTCAAGACAGGGCTGAATGGTAACGTTGCACACCTAAGTGAAAGAGGCTGGGTTATCCCCATGCCTTTCCTGCAGCTGTCACCTGGAAACATCTCAGACTTAAGACTCAGGACTGAAAGGGAGCAGATTAAAAGTTGTATTGCTCTCTCTAGATAGAGCTCTATCACGGAAAACTATCCCCAGCAAGTATTCCCTGGATAATGTGAATTAGCAGAAGAAATCAAATGCTCAGAGGAGATACTCTATGAGAAGAACACTTGCATCGCAACACTTTTCATACTTAAAAGCCTGACTAACAAACCGGAATCACTTAATATCAGCTGGCACACCTTTTTTCTCTCCTACACAAAGGATATGGACAGCACTCGGAAAATAAAGTCTAAACAGTAATTGTACCACAATGCCGAACGCTGCCCTGGAAACTAACGATAACAGACCAAACTTTAGACACTACAGAAGAGGCGAAAGTGGCCTGTAAACCGCGGTGAGCCCAGCGCCCCCGCCGTCCCCGGACCCGGGAATGCCTTGTCCCGAGTGGTGCAGCGCGACTAGGAGGGACTTCCCGGGCGGGCGCCTCCCACTCCCGCCCAGCCTCCTGCCCCAACCCTGCGCGCAGCGGCTCGGAGTCATTACCCGAGAGCGGCTCTGGATCCTCCATGCTAGGCACGGCTCCGCTCCCGGCCTCCGCAGACAGCATCAGGACCACCAGCAGAATCAGGCTGCTAGCTGCGGCCTGCGGCTCCATCCCGGGGCAAGACACCGACCGGACTGACAGGGTACCCGTGCGGCCTGTGGCCGGGACTGGCGTCACGTCCGCCGCGGCGCTTAAGCCCGCAGGGGGCGGGGCCGGAGGGATGGGCGGGGCCAAAGTAGAAGTCCACAGCCTCTGAGAGGCGTGGCTTTAGAGAGACACGGACCCCCGACTGGACGAAGAGTGGAGGTAGAGGCAGAGGCGGACTGTTAGGGGCGGGGTCAGGGCGGGGTCTAAGCCAAGAGGCGGGGAGAATACGCGATTTGTAAGCGTTGACTGGAGATCGGGGACGGGGATGGGACTTTGAGGCGGGGTCTACACGAGGAGGAGGATCCTGGACTGGGACTCCGGGAATGGGCGAGGTCTGGCTAGGCAAGGTCTGGAAATCCCAGCCGGGCGTGGGCGGAAATACCTGACTAAATTGAGGGAGAGGTGGACTAGCCTAAGGCTTGAACCTTCGTGTGCCTCTCAGGATCTGGCCTCTGGGTTACGAGAAGAATTCGGATCCAAAGATTACCTTCTTTCAACGTGACACCACCTTCTACCTATTCCTCTTTCTGTTTTTGTAGTGACCTGGGGTTGCAGATTTTTGCTTTGGAATACAACCCAGACACCACGCTTGTCTCATCCATCTACCATCTAGGTATCTTGGATCCTGAGGTTTTAAAAGAGTTCAAAGGAGCCTCCTCCAATTTTTGCCAGTTTTATCTTCGGAACTTGAATTCTCTGCTTTTGTTTGTGCAGACACCTACAACACAAACCCAATGTGTTTGGGTAAGTCCTTTGTTCTTAGAAAAAGAAAGAAAAGACTACTACAAAAAAGTTCATGTCCATTTTAATAATGAACTGTTAAATGACAAATTATTACATAGTCTCAGCAAGAGATCAGCCCCTTTTCCTCTGTAACCACTCCCATTAGGTTGGCATCGCTCTCAAACCCTTGCAATCTTAATGTCTTTGCTCTTAATATTGACAAAATTCAAGACTTATCCTCAAACAAACGGGCTTACCCATTTCAGTTCTCGGCTTATCACCATCTTTGCAAAAATTTTAGATCTCCCATTCTCTTTCTTCCACTCTATTTTTAATGACACCTTCCCACCCCCACCACACACACTATAGATATGCACATTGATTGATTTTTCTCTGCTTCTTAGAATACAAGCTCTATATGGCTGAAATCTCAGCATGACATTCGATCAGTCTTTGCTAAATGAAAAAGTCCTATCTCTAAACAAACTATTATGAAGACATTGTGCAGACTAGGAATTACCAGCTAAAGCTGGCTATTTATATTAATCTCATAGCCCAGGATTTCTCAGACCTTGGTGATCTTGTGCAGGTTGTCAGTAGCTATGACCCAGATTAAACTTCTGCTTTCTGGAAAAGGTATACAGCAAATACCATCACCTTTGGTGCCAGGAATAGGAAGGCTTTACCCTGTCTGCAGGACTATTTCCTTGGTGTGCTTTCGATACACACCCCATGAAAGACATCTCTAGTCATTGTATGGGTACGAGAATAAATTACCGCACTTTGCTGTTTAAGAATGTTATTTACAGGCTTTGTTGTAGTGGACATAGCCATTGGAAAGTAAGAAGCAAAACCATTTCTTAGGGACTGCTGCAGGGATAAACCCCTGTAAAAGGGAGGTGAGAGGAAGCAGAGCAGGAACTGATGTGTGAGGACATCCTAACTTCACAAGCTGCTTGTAGGGTGTCCTAGATGGGTGTAAGAAGTGAAGCAATGCCTTACCAGCCCTGAATAGGAGCTAGAACGGGGCTCCTGTGACTTTAGCTGAAGCATATCCCCAAAGAAGGCTGGCAGCTGAGACTGACTACCAGCAGTGCTCCTGGTGGCAGGGAAGGGGTGGGACTAAACCTTCCCAAGTAAAATAAACTGAAAGCTTAGACATAAAGCATGATCCAGAGCCAACAAGAAGTAACACACACTGTGCCCAAGCACTGGCATTTCCTTCCCCTTTATCAGGGCAGGAATATTTGCCTGCTTCCCTTTAAAGCAGAGAGCCTGAGGGTCTGCAGCTAGAGTACAGAGGTTTACATTCTCTTCACCACTCTATAAGTTATAGCCAATGCCCTTCTCTGTCTCTACACTACTCTCTATCTAGCTTTCTATTTGGTGTAGTGTTTATCACCATCTGGAGAGCTCGCTGTAAATTCTATACCTTCAAAGCACATGTGTTGTGTATGCACTATGGTTTTTTGTTTGTTTGTTTTTTACAAAATGTATAAACATAGGTGACACAATCTCCACAAAGTTATTGAAATCACGTTTATAATTACCAAAGAATGCAGCAGGGTTATAGGAGCACAAAAAGGGATTTAATGTGAGATTTAAGAAATTCATATGTGGGTAAATGTGTAACACACACACACACACGTGCGCATTTCTTTTACTTGTCTCTTTTTACTACAAAAATAAACTTTTTCTTGAAAGTTACCAGAAATTTTACTGAAAAGATTAACTCCTTGTTTCCCTCACTGCCACTTCTACCCCTGGACAAGTAGCTCACAGCCCATTAATCTTTATCAAATAAACAAAAGAAGGGAGAAAACAAGCTTATAAAAAGATACAGGGTGAAAGCACATGTTTTAATTTATGGTTGGCTGTGGTCTCCCTCATATCTACAATAGCACACTTCTCAACCATTGCTTGAAGCGGGCATGTCCTCGTTTTCATCCAGTGGGTGGCTTTCCTGTCCTGCAAATAACTGACTTTGAGGCATGACTCTGATCAGTTAATAGCATAACAGATGAGAGAGGTATGGAGAACAAACACAAAAACTGCTTTTCTTAGTAGCAGCATGATATCAAGCACTTGGAGCCCCCATCAGTCGTGCATGACTGGAGAGCTTTATAAGAACAGGTACAACAAGAGAACACATTAGCCCCAGCCGTCTCTAATTCCCTGCTTTGGCTGTACACACAGTGATGTCTTCCGGGCAGTGGCAATTGGCAATCTTGATGCACTAAGTCTTAGGAGGAAACAAATCCACAACTGAAAATGGAAATTCAGTTGGGGAGATGGCTTAATTGGTAAAGTGCAAGCATGAGGGCCTGATTCAGATATGCAGCGCCCACATTTTGCAGCAGGCAAAAAGTCTGTAACACCAGTGGTGCGGATGTGGTTGGGGAAGGAGACAAGCAGATCCTTGGAGTTCATTGGCTAGACAGTCTAACCAAACTGATCAGCTCCAGGTTCAACGCGAAACCCTGACTCAAAAAAAAAAAAAAAAAAAAAAAAAAAAAAAAAATAATGGAGGCACATGCTTTTAATCGCAGAACTTAGGAGGCAGAGGCAGGTGGTTCTCTGTGATTTCCAGGACAGCCGGAGAAACCCTGTCTGGAAAAACAAAACTAAACGGAAGTAATTAATGGAGAATGATTGAGGAAGACACTTACAGTGTACCTTTGGCTTTCCTTTGCCAGTGAACACACATGCATGCTCACTTACACACCCAAATGAGCATCTACATGCATGCACGTATGTACTCTAATACACACACTATATACAAAAAATGGAAGGCTGTGGACACTGGAAACCTGAGTCATCAGTGTTAGCATCCGGCCACTGAGTCAATGTCTAGAACTATTCACTTCTGCATGTTTGCCACGGAGAGAAAAATTAGTGTTTCTTGGTTGAAACCATTGTCAAGTTGATTTTCTATTCCTTTGTGCTGATTTTTTTTTCTCTCATTCAGTGTCAGGCCATCCTAAGTAAGTTCTCTTTCAGAGAAAGAGTTGGGGTGTAACCCACAGGGCAGAAGAGGAAAAGGCAGAAGCAGAGGCTATCTCTCAAGCACAGAGTAGGAAATTAGCAAGCAAACAGGATCCTTTGTCTGGGTGGGAGATGGGGGACAAGAACAAGGCCTTGTCAAGCTGTCACCGCTGCACCAGCTGGAAAGCTTCCCGAAATGCCATATACTCTGAACTCCCTGAGACTAATTCACTGTTAATCTTCTCTTCTTGCTTTCACATATGTCCTTATGATATCCCTGTCATCTTCAATGTCAGAGCTTTGCTCTACAAGAGCCCAGTGAGCATAATTTGCAGCCATGTGTGGTCAGTCTTCCAAAAGGATAGCTGCCATGCACTTTGAGAAGCCAGTTCCCAGCATCATTCAAAATATGGGTCTGAAAAAAAAGTTGCTAAAAAGAACTGAGCGACCTAAAGAAGCACACAGTTTGTCCCCAGTGCCCCATTACTTCCTGTTTCAATGCATACCAACCCCAACCCCCCATCCCCTCTGCACATCAGAAAGGGAACTCAGCTCGCTGGTGCCCTACATTGTTCTCTGTCCTCTCACTGCCTGCAGAGACGGAGCCTCCTCCTAGCTAGAGATGCTCTGGTTTCCAAAGCTTTAAAGTTTCTCTCCACTCTTACCTCATGATTAAACAAATTCATTTACTGACATCAGCATTTGATAACTTTGGGGGCAGTACTCCAAATATATACTTTGACACTAAAATAGTTCTTAATCAGCGGAGGAATGAACTTTCAGAAATGGTGCTGGCTGGTGAGAGTCTTAAAAAGAAAGCAGAAATCAATATATTTTTCCCTCAGCAAAGGAGTCTTTGAACTGCTATCAAATCATGATGTGACAGCTCGAACCTTTTCTTAGTTACATTAGCAGTTTGGTGATTGGCTTCAAATAAGAGACATGTTTTATTTGTTTGACAATGACTAATAGGGCAAACATTCCTGCTTAGTGTTTAATATCTGAATTATTACTATTGTATTGAATGCCAGCAATAGTTTCTAAAGGAGATACTTTTTATTTGTAGCAAATAGGAGGCTTTCATTTGTCCTTTATTTGTTAATGAGACAAAGTCTGCCATAAAACTGGCTTAGCTTCAAGCTTTAATCCTCCTGTCTCAGCCTAGGAGTGTGGCTAAACCTGGTTCCTTTTGTCTAAATTCTTACCCCAGGTGGCAGTCACTCTGCACCTACTGGTACCTAGGGCAGGCAAGGGCCCCTTCCATGTCAGCCTGGGCATTTATACCTAAGGAAAA